TGAGCAGCAGCAGCAACAACAACAACCATTTGGCCTGTTTTCATTTTGTTTACTCCCTTTAAATTATTTACAGAGATACCAAATGTATTTGAAACTGGAGCTGCTTCAAGGCAAAGAGGTTTATGGGCCAGTTCAGGTCCACTGCAGCTGCTGCCAACTACACTCCGAGTAAAAAAAAAGACAGGAAAACAGTCTTTACAGATGAGGTTTGTACTTACCACCTTGAGATTGTGTTTATGTTCATGCCAAGACCACTTTATGCCTTCATTTTTCTGCTTTGGTTTATTATAGCTGGTGTGAATTTTGCTGACACTTTCTGCTGCCTCTAAACAATCCAAACTACGTCAGATGAGCCTGGTTCAACCACCAAAGACCTGGAAGTACGGATGGATGAAAGGTAATGAAGTTTTCACTCACGGGCCGAGGCTGAAAGTCTTTTTCCTCCAGGCCCCACTGCTCCCGGTAGAAACGATAGTACGCTACATTTTGCAGCATCACCTGGTCTTTGGAGTCAAACAGCATGTAACTGGCTGCACACGGAGCAGCATTCTTCACATCATTCACTGCAAAGGAACAGCAAAACGATCCAATCACATAAACGCATCACACAACATCCTCTCAAAATCCTCCAGAGTCACTGTCAAAACGCTTACATTTATAATAGGAAAACTGGAGGTAGTGATACATGGTGGCGACAAATTTCTCTACAAAGAAGCCTCCAACGCTGGGTGTCAGGTGCTCCTCGCATTTCACCTTACATTTCAGCACATCAGTGTAGAGATCTGAGGGAAGCAGGGAGGGGAAAGCACGCAAAAAAAACAAAAACACAACATATTATTTTCTTATCCAGAACAGGATGAACTGCAGCTTCCGTCAAACTGCTTTCTACTCACCTGCCAGTGTAGGGTAGAAGTCCTTGAACTCCAAGATCTCGTATGAGCCCTCGCAGCCTGCTAAGCAGAGGCTGTATATTTCAAAGTACTGCGTGATGGCCTGCTCCATGTGCCGGGCGCTGGCGCTGAAGTCTCCGCTGTTGTAGAGCGTCACACTCTTCAGGAACACACTCTGGATCACAAAGAGATGTTACTTGATGAGGCTGAATTTCAATAGCACATCTTTAACTGTAGACCAAAAGCAGCGTTAAGGTACCAACCTCATACGGCTGCTCCTCGTGGTCGATGAGATACTCCTCCACGTCGAACAGTGTCTTGTAGTAGTTCATGTTCTTGGTCAAATAGGGGTCAGTTGGGTTCTTCTTCAGGAAGGTGTGGGCTGCTGCCACAGCCTTCTCCACGTTATTGAGCTGTGTACCAACAGACAGTGTTAAAATGGAGAGCGCAGCTTGACTGGACAGTGTTTTCTGAAAATATGAGACACAGTCTCTGCTCACTGGACAACATGACCTCTGACCCCTTCATCGCAACAATTACTAACAGATGGAGATGTCAGGCTTCTTGGTTATAGGCTGACACAGTGCCATATTCAATTTATGTGAAATAAATAAGAGGTAAAGAAAATAAACATGGCCAAAAGGACGGAATGAACTTCCAGTTAAACACAGTCCCCTCTCTCTTTAAAGAACCTTTTGATGCTGATCTTAATGGTGTAACGTCATAATGCACACACAGTAGGTAATTAAAGGTTTCAGACAAGGTTTTGAAGTGGTGAGTGTCAACAACAAAGAAACACTTGAAAAACTTGATTAGTTCTAATCTTGTGTAGCTAGAATAACCTGGAGATTACCACACGATAGATGTGACCAAAATGCATTTTACGCACAAGTTTTAAGACGAGCGAAATGAGTGTGTTTGCCTGGTGAGCACACCTCCAGTCCTCATCACTGTGTGTCTGACAGAGGAGAATAAGGGGATTGTTTCGGGGGAACACTGGAAGAGACGTGGCACATGCTCAACTCCTGCTCAGTCGGCAGGAGGGCGCAACAAAGCAGCTGAGGATCTAAACTCCACACGTCGAGGGAGAGAAATTTCCCTTCTCTGAGTCAAACAGTCGATCTGCCTGAAGGAAACGACTGCACACAATTTAGTGGAGTGATTACGCATAATAATGGCAACGCTAAACCCACGCAAACAGTATGTTTCTGTGTTTTTTCTCATTCGCAAATTGGTTTTATAACGGGCAAGTCGCGATTACATGTCCTACAATAACTTTATTACTTTTCTATCTGTTCCACTTTGAGGTTTGTTTCAGTATCTGGTGTCAGCTTAGACTTTAGTGTTGGGCCTACATTTATTTTGCATCCCACTCTTGGGCACAGCACTCCACACATGAAGGCTTCGCTCTCACCTGGTAGTACGCATACTGTATGTACCGATACGGTATCCTTTTGTCGAAATCTTCCAGTAAATCCCTCCGTGGGTATGCGAGATTAAAGACTGGGAACCCCGCCTTGCACTTTTTAAGGCACGCAGCTCTCAGAAGGATGTGGCGCACGACGCGGAGGCTGCTGTCGGCGAACAGGGTGTCGTTGTCCCGGCTGACGGAGCTGCAGTTGCGGCTGCAGAAAGCCTCGCTGTCCCGCAGCAGCCGGTGGAGCCGCAGGCTGAGCTCCAGGAACTTGATGCTCTCTCGCCAGTTCTGCGCCCCGTACTGCTCCAGCGCGTAGCCGTACGCAGACTCCAGTGGCATGATGTCCTTCTGAGGGAAACTTTTAAAGCTGTACTTCTCATACTGAGCCTCCACCAGGACCGGGATGAGAAAGGCCAGGCACAAGCTTTTCAGGAGCATCATCGCCTCCGCCGGCTCCAGCAGGAGTCTGTTCTTGTTTTGAATGGATCAGGAAGCTTCCTCTTTCTTTACCAGGGATTGCTCATGTCTGCCTGCACGTAGGCTGTGGAAAGCCGTGTTGAGCTGGATGCAGAAAATAAGATCTTCTGGTCACGACTTTCAAAATAAAAGCCACACTCGCTCACGCATTTACCCATACAGTCAGTGATTAAAATTGTAATCTGTGCTGTATTGCTTTTAGTCACTGTAGCTTTTCTGCACGCCCATTGCAACAAAATCCGAGCACTTGGTCGAGAAAGGCAATTCATCTCATGGAACATCATGTCTGCGTCTATCTTAAATGAAATGCATTATCACATGTTTGACCATAATAAATGCACACGTGTGTTTGTGATGAATAAATCAGCACTACTATACCGTCCTAAGATATTTTGAGCCCAGTAATGAAAGAGGAAAGAGGTGTGATGTATACATACAAGAGCCTGGACTAAATGGTAGAAAAGAGATTTGCACATATCAGGATCAAGCAGATATCAGGAAATGCCTAGATTCTTGCTTTCCTTGGATATGAATATTTTATGATTGCATAAAACTAAAACTACAGGCTCTTACAACTTTTAACTTCTTTTCATTTATAAAAACAAAAATCAAACTGAGAAGATGAATCAACTGTGCAGCTTTATAGCTGACAAACGCAACTCAACAATTACGTTGAAGTCAGAAGTCCGTACTTCCGGTATAAATAGTGCTAATTGCTGCACGCTTGACACAGGCGTCACAGTCTGAGTTTGGACCTGAAGAAAGAGGGTCCAGTTTTCCTCAGTGTTTTCCACCATGGTCATAACACCCAACGGACCCATGAACCAAAATGTATCACCGAAATAGGGATCTATTTCTTATTGTTTTGTATTTTGTTTTGTTTTGTTTTTACAATTTGAGCATTTTTGCTTCCAGCCCTCAAACTATAGGCAGATAATAAATTTATAAAATATAGTGGTTGTCTGAAAAGCGCTTGTATTTCCAGTCTGGTTATAAATTGTGCATTCCAAGAAAACTGACAAGCTGAGACGTGTCAGCGAGTTTAAAAATCCATCACCTCTGGGCAAATCTAATCTCTAATATCGGACTCTTAACAACATTTCATATTCATAATGTTGGAGGCTGCAGGCTTTTGTGGTAGAAGTTTTAGTCTGATGGTTATTAGGACCCAGAGCCTGTTTTTTGAGGCAGATAGATGTGTTCAGAAGCACTTCTCCGTGTAATCCCTGTTTAAAATGTAGAGTGCGAAAGGGGATGGATACTAAACTGTGACTCCAAAGGATAACTAAAGATTATGGTGAGGCACCTTATAATTTCATCTCATACGTGAGTGAAATCATGGAGTCAGGCCTCTGGGCCAAGCATTACACGTTTGCAGAATCCATTAAAAAGTGGGTGGGTGCCCGGGGGCCACTCCTCCTCCTCCTGCTCTCTGGAGTGAATGGCCTGAATGATGCGTCAAGTGAGCCAGCGAGAGCCGGAAGTAAAAGCACAAATTAAAAGCATAATCCTTTCAGTTATAGAAATATTCATTCTATGACATAAATACATTACATCAGATGTCTATTTAAGTAATGTCTGCTTGTGCAACATGCTGACTTTTGTCAAATTGCTACTCAGAGCTTAGGATGACAAACATATGTGGGGTCGATTAATACCCTGACTGAATTTGTTTAATATATTCCATTCTATTGTCAAGAACACACAGCCTCTCCATGCTGCTGAAAATGTGCATCCATACTATAATCCCTGATAACTTTGAGACCATAGATAATCATATTTTAAGATGCTACTGCTATTCCTCACCTTATTTTTGACAATTGTTTGTCTCATTCTTCCTTATAGCTACTATTGGTGTTGGTGTATTGTCTTCAGTACCTCTCTTTTATTTTGTTTATAAAATAAAATTCATGGACCAGAAAAGGATGAGAAACACTGTTTTAGGCTCCTGACCCTAAATGTGTAATATAAAAAAATAAATTACATTCAGTATATCTGCAGGAGTAACACGAGTCAGTCCTCAATTGGACCGTCAAGATGATTACCCCTATACAAAAAATGTCACTTGGATGTGCTCAGCAAATATATATTCATATTCCAAGTTCTTTGAAAAGGCATTTATTTTGTAATCTGTAACCGGAAGTTTATCTTATTCCAGCACACTTGATTTAACCTGAATTTCTTGCGGTACTTCTCTCTCCACTCCAGCCGCATCACCCAGCTGGCAGACTGCACGAGCTTCCGCAGTTATTGTCATAACTTTCCAGATGGATTTGATGATAATGTTGGTTTTATTTTTCCTTCATGTAGTCACTGTGAAATGCAATCCCGGACCTTTAGTGGACGTTGTTGTCGATCGGTACGATATACCGAAAGTTTGTCCCCGAGAGGTGCAAACAGAAGATTTTATCCGTTATCATTTCAACGGTACTTTCTTTGCAGATGGGCAGAAGTTTGACTCCAGGTGAAGTTACAGCGAAATGCACTTTTGTATGTCAGTTAGTTTCAACTGCGTTCATTTATAGCTTTAAAGTCTTTTGTACGAGAAAGTTAAACTTTATGTGTAAAGTCAAGAACGAGCTTACTTCACATGAAAAATATAGCTTCAAATAGCATGTTTAGCTATCCCTCTTACAGAATGGTTGCTATGCAGTGCATATTGCAAACTGCAAAGTATGTTGCCTCGGAACAAACATTGTTGTATCATGGAGACACTATGGTAAACAGAAGGAATGTGACTCACAACCATTTTCAACTGACTACAGCTGTGATACCTTCAGACGTGTCAGCCACATGGTCTCTGATGTGTAACAATTTCTTAGCTATGTGTTAGCTATGTAAAAACTTTAATACAAATGCACGAGTTTTGTTCTTGCTGTGATTGAGTATCCTGTTGGTACACAAAGCGTGAGTTTTTTTTGTTAAGGTGGTGGATATTTCAAACAACCCTCTAGGTTTTCAAAATTGTTAAAATAACTAATCATAATTAAGCCAAGAGAGTCCCTTTAAATAATATTGCTGATTGTGGATGGAACAGTGGATGCTGACTTTATAGCACTACAAAATATTGGCATAATTTTTCCCTAATTACATGTGTGCTGTTTTGACATTTCTACCTGTGGTCGGTACCATTGATTTTCATTTACTTCTCCCTTTCTGTCTACAGTCATGACCGAGGCAAAGCCTTCATCAGCCAGGTGGGCCTGGGCAGACTCATCACAGGGATGGACCGCGGTCTCCAGGGCATGTGCGTGAACGAACGTAGGAGAATCACAGTCCCCCCACACTTGGCCTACGGAAGCATAGGAACAGGTGTGATGAAACTCTCTCTGCACTTTATTAGTGACATGGTCTGTGCTGGTTTATGACAATCTGTGCTGCTTGTCTGACAGGTGGTGTAATTCCTGCTGATGCTGTGTTGGTGTATGATGTTCTGCTGCTGGACATATGGAACGCTGAGGACAAGGTCCAGATCCGCACGATCAACAAACCTGCAGGTTGCAAACGGACCACTGTGGCATCAGATTTTGTCCGTTACCACTATAACGGCACCCTGCTGTCTGGTGAAACCTTTGACTCCAGGTGAGACCAAACACCACTGAGGCTGCAGGTTGTTTATTGCAGGAACTTAAAAGTATCTCCTGACTGTTTCTGTGCTTTTCAACAACTTTGAACTGTGTTTAATATAGCTACTCGAGGAATACAACCTATGACACCTACTTGGGACAGGGTGACCTCATCAAAGGCATGGACGAGGGTCTCATGGGCATGTGTGTTGGAGAGAGACGGATCGTCATCGTCCCACCCTTCCTGGCGTATGGAGAGAACGGCTCTGGTACTAAATAATGACATGGTGGTGGCTTGTGTACAAACATGTTTAACTTAGCAGGAAATGTCAGCATGAATACTATGATTTTTTCATGACTTTCTACTATGACCTTTTATGGCTTATTGTACTATGACATTTATATGCCTTACCATACTATGTTGTTTTTATGACTTACTATACAACGAGTTACTTATGAGCTGACACGGTTGAGCAGTGGTTAGAACTGTCGCTTCATAGTGAGGAGGTTCTGGGTTTGAATCACGGGCCTGAGACCCTTCTGTGTGGAGTTTGCATGTTGTCCCTGTGCCTGCGTGGGTTCTCTCCGAATACTCTGGCTTCCTCCTGCAGTCCAAAGACATGCACAGTAGTTTATTAGTGGCTCTAATGCCTTACTATACTGTGACTTTTTAGGCCTTACTATACAATTACTTTTTACGCCTTACTATACTATGACTTTTTTAGGCCTTATTATACAATGACTTTTTTATGCCATTACTATACTATGAGGTTTATATCCTTAATATACTATGAAATTTTTATGCCTTAATATACTATGACATTTTTATGCCATTACTATACTATATTATTAAAACTTTTGGTTGACAGCATTAAAAAGCCAATCTCTTGTTTTGGAGGGGTGGCGTGGTTGTTGCGTCCCTACCAGTGTTGAGGCCAAACCTACGCCTTTGCAGTATTGTTTCATGGTACTGTAGTTGAGAGCAATGAAAGGTGAATGTGTGAAACTCAGGCTCAGCCTGTTGATCGACATTCTCCTTCTATATACTGTATGTGTGATGTAGATACAACTTGAAAGTTTCATAGCACAATAATATGGATAAAAAGGTCTGCCTGGAAGATAGGACACTAATGTCAAAACTGGGTGAGCAATAATGGAAAGCATATTTGACAAGTATGGACCTGCAACTGTGATTTGTAGGCACACTGTAAGTATTAGTTTTTTTCCCCAACAGGAACTCTGGTCCCTCCTCAGGCCACACTGGTGTTTGAGGTGCTGCTGATTGATGTGTTCAACCCCAAGGATGACCTGATTGTGGAGGTGAAGGAAGTGCCTAAAGGCTGCACCCGCAGGACGGTGACTGGAGATTACATCCGCTACCACTACAACGGTACCTTCCAGGACGGCACGGCTTTCGACTCGAGGTAAACCTGAGACTTCTCCGTTCTCCGAGAGCAATAAAATACAAAGAAAAAAAAAAAGAACTCTGATTGTTAATCTTCCCTTGACAGCTACCAGCGAAATAGCACCTATAACACTTACATTGGGATGGGATATGTGATCCGAGGGATGGACAAAGCACTGCAGGGGCTGTGCATAGGAGAGAAACAGAGGATTACAATTCCTCCTCACTTGGCGTATGGTGAAGAAGGAGTTGGTGAGTTTGATTCATGGATTTAGAAGAATTAAGAAGACATTTGGATTGGAATAACAAATCACTAAGTTTATGTTTATAACATTGCCCTGTTTATTTATTGGCTGCAGGAGACCTCATTCCTGGATCTGCTGTGCTGGTCTTTGACATTCATGTCATTGATTTCCACAATCCCAAAGATCCGGTCGCGGTTAAAGTAACCCACAAGCCCCAGGAATGCAACGTGACCAGTGAAGCTGACGATCTGATTCAGTATCGTTACAATTGCTCCCTGATGGACGGCACCCTGCTGTACTCCTCGTGAGCCCCCTCTGCTGTTCACTCTGCTTCACTGCATCCTCCTCCTCCCGGTTCATGCATGAAATCATTGCTGGCTCCTTGTACGACAGATTTCAGTGGCCCTGGAACTGCAGATTTGATACCATTTCCATATCCATGACAACAGCATGTATGCTTGCATGGCTCGAGGTTTTGTTACATAGAAAATTTTGATTTAGTTTTAATTTGTTTTGGTTCCTTCTGTTAAGAGTGGTAACATGTTATCTGTCACTGCAGGGATCAGTACAACTCGCCCTCTACCACGACTCTCGGAGCAAAAATGGTGATCCTGGGTCTGGAGGAAGGTTTGAGCGGCATGTGCGTGGGTGAAAGGAGGGAGGTGGTCATCCCTCCTCACTGGGGGCACGGTGAAAATGGAGGTCGGTCATTGGAGCTGCACAGATCACACCCTGCACACACTTTTTTTTCACCCTGACTCGTGTTCTCTTCTGCGTCTTGGTGTCTCCAGCTGGAGGAGTCCCCAGGAGTGCTGTGCTCTTCTTTGAGCTGGAGCTGGTGGAGCTGCAGAAGGGAGTGCCTGAAGGCTACATGTTTGTGTGGCTAGGAGACGGCCCTGACCCCCTCTTTCCTGCTATGGACCTCAATGGTGACAAAGAGGTTCCTCTAGAGGAGGTAAGGAGACAAGTTAGGTTCAATCTAAGTAAAAAAAGAAAAAAAAAAAAAACAGCCTGGGTATAAGCAGGGAAATTTCTTTTTAACAGTGCAATAACAGTGCAATACTAATAATAATATCTCCTGTATTTTCTCCAGTTTTCATCCTTCATCATGATCCAAGTTAAAGAGGGCAAAGGCCGTCTGCGGCCAGGGGTCGATGCCGACAGCATCATTAAGGACATGTTCAATAACCAGGACCGCAATCAAGATGGGAAGATTGTGGAAGATGAGATGGATGAGGAGTCTGAACAAGTGAGACGAGATGAGTTGTAAAAAGGGACATAGAGTATTTCAGTGGTGGTCATTTACTGTCTGGGGTAATACTGTCGTCTTAGCAACTGTCGTGCCACTATTTTGAAAATGTTTCAAATATTGAGAGCTTTTATTTAAGGCAGTCAGACAGTTTGCTAGATTCTTTTAAAATGCATTAATGACATCTCACCCCACTGCAGAAGCACATCAACAGCACAAGAGAACATCTGTATCTGAGGGTCAGTATGTTGTGCACAGGAAACAGGTGTTTGAAACTGTGAAAGAAATAAATAATATCTGTAAAGAAAATATATTCCCCTCAAAAGAAAGGCAGATTTAAGCATTTACATCAAACTACCTTACAAACATTTGGGCAGGGCCCATCCTCCAGACTATATAATTTTATATAAATGAGTCAAATGCAGAGTTGTTGTCGTGCCTCACACCCGTCTCTTGATAGACAAATAAAAAACCACTGGTTGTACAGTTTGGGAGTGGCAGGTTTGTACTATAACAGAAAATCTATCATAGAAAATTATATTACAGATTGTGTTGTGAAACATAAAATAAACTGTTTTATAATAAAATAAGAGACAACATCAACTTTCTTCCTTCCACCCTGTTCGTGCACAGACATGCACTGTACCGGTAAACTACTTTGGCAGATTTTCACTTAGTTAGTTTCACTTAAGGAAAATGAAGCTCAGAAAAGATGAAACTGAATTTTATTTCGTACAAGTTGTAACATTGGAAAAGTAAATGAGTTTGGACAGATAAAAAAATCATGACTTGCTGCATGTGGCACACAGTCCACAAATGACAGAAAAAAAAATCTGTCATTCTTGGATATTGTTCTATTCTTTAGTTAAAAGGTTTTTAGAAACTTTTGTTGTGGCAGTGCAGAAAGTATCAAACTCCTGAATGAACCTAGAAATTAAACTATCTAAAGTTTAAAAAACAAACAAAAAAATCTAAATAAGTTTTATTTTTCTTGCAAATACCAGAAAACTTCTGAGGTAGCAGTTACTCTTACAGATCATTAGTGAACTCAGATCTTAAAAAAAGATCTAGATATTTTTATCTCTGCTCACCTATTTATTTTAAGTGTTGCACAGACAGCTGTCTGTGCAACACTTACTATTACAGTTGTGTCATAAGAAAAACAATAGCTTTAACAGAAAACACCAAATGTATTGTGAGCTTGACAATATGGCAAGAAACTGAAAAACTAGACCAAGGTAAAACATGGAAAATGATTTTTAAAAGTATTTGGTTTCAGGTTAAAATTAGCTGGAAAATTGTTTTGTAGTAAGAGGCTGGAAATCAGTTTCAAACCAAATGTCAAGCGCTGCCATTGACGTGCATTTTTCTTTCCCTTTTATCAGTATATTTTTTATATGAGAACCAGAAACGTCTGACAATTGTCTCCCAAAAAAAAAAATAAACAAACACACTAAAACACACTAACACACACTTACATGCTGCACATAGGTAGACAGTCCAAATCTGGCTTCCATCATATACAGTATGGTCTAAAAACAGTTCAACCATTAACATGAGAAGAAGGCCCGTAAACATGGATATGAAAGAGTGACATGGTGTTTGTGAGCTGCAGCTGTGCTAACCTTGACTCATTCACAAACGTGTATACCTTTTTAGTAGAAATTAAAAAAAAATACTCTAAACATTCTTAGTTGGTTATCAATAACGTTCTGAAGATGGGCCTCTTCAGTTTATAGCACCAGAGTGGCAAGTGAACCTTAAACAGTCAATTCTCAGTTCACTTATTGCCAGTGAGGTAGAGCAGTACAGCATTGGGGACTTCCAAGGTTTCATCTTTTACCAACACAATGTCATATGAGTCCAAGTATGACTGCTTCCTCTCCTCCACCTGAAAAAACAGATCAGAGGTGTGTATTAAAATGTCAGAATATGACTTTACTGTGGTAAAATGTTTGAGTCAGTGAATGTTTTCAACTTAACCTTCACCTTAGGGTGGCAGGTACTAAATATTGCTATCCAGTCATTTTGATGAACGTGTGAAGGTGTGCTTTTTATTTACCTTGTCATTGAGGAATCCGATTTTGAGGATGTTCTCCATCTGCTGCACCCCGTCAGCCATGGTCAGATCTCCCAGAGAGTCCCCCATCAGTAATACGTTAGGTCGTGCCCGCAACTCCTGGAAATGGCCAGTGTTGAGCAAAGCGCCTTCCCTTTTGTTGTAGATGTGGATCAGCTCTCCCTTGAAGGCCTTCAGTACCCCCTGTTTAAGCAAATCAAGGCACGTGTCCATCACCTTATGCCCCATCCCTGCTGTGGGGCTCAAATTGAGGTATGTTTGTAGTGTGGCTACTCACACACTCATCAAAGTCCATGTAGTTGGAGAAGACTTTGACGTTGGGGTGGAAGACCCCAGCCTGGCGAATCACCTCCTCCAGGATGTCTCCTATCCCAGCAGAGAAGATGAGCAGAGGGATGCTGTGCTCATGCAGGTGGTCAAAGAAGAGCTGGTAGCCCTCTCTGTAAAAATATCAAGTCAGTTCAAGAGGCCATTTTATCATTGTTTTTATTAAAAATCACAAAATAGACTTTCTGACCTGAGCATGGCATCAGACTCCTGTACCACTTTGGCCAGCAAGTCTTTTCTGATCTTCTGCTGTACCAGTAGTTCATGGGCTTTAGTCCACCTGTCAGAAACAATAAGCAGAGCAGTTTTATGGACACATGAAAGTGCAAAGTATCATATTTTCAAGAAAAGGTGTATTAAATACTCACCACTCAACCATTAGAGGCAACTTTTCATCTATTGACCGTGAAGAATCGATCTCTATAGGGTAGTATGTGTTGAGTAGTTCCTTCATCTAAAGGAGACAGCACAATATTCAGTGAACTATGGCTTAGATGTTCAGAAAAGATGGCCAAATTTCACCCAGGAAGAGAAAGTTTTCTGTCATATTATATCACAGGGATTCATTTCACGGATTATATTTTTTCTCCTATATCCATTTTATTTAATCTGTAGTTACAATAGTAACATGGTCCAGACTATCTCTTTGCAATCTTCTTATTATCTTCTTATTGAAAAATATGCCACATTGCAGATACAAAAAAACATCAAGAAAAAGTCTGATTTAACAGCAAGAGGGCTGTAATAAGGGCACTTAAATTATTTGCTTTACTAATAATAAATGCAAGTCACAGATCATGGTTGATTTTGTCATACGTTTCCATTCCCCCTATTGCCCACTAGAGAGCAGACAATAAATGTAAAATACTGAATGAATGAATATCAAACAAAAGCATAAGTGAGATATTTTCATGACCTTTATGTGTTTTACTGCTTAATAACTGAAAAATGAAAAACTTTGCAATAAATCATTAAATTTTAATGAATGTTAAATACATTACATATAAGTTATATGTATGCAGTGGTTTACATGTGGATTGAAATATACTCCACAACATGATAATTTTGCAGAGTCTTGAACTGGAGACTGTTTAAATCACATGCTATTTTGCACTGACGCATGACATACTCCAATTGTAACCTGGAAAATAACTATAATTTAAGATTTGCCATACTATAAGATAAATTATTACATAGCGATGCTACTATGTTTTGTGCAAGTTTAATTAATGTTAGTCCAACCAAAGGAAAATCTACTTTTGCACTGACGCATCTTTCTTACCTGCTCTTTGCAGTCATCAGAGATAAGTTTGCTGTTGTCAAGTATATCTGCAAATAAAACACACACACACGTGAAACAAAGTTTAGCCAAAAACAACCTTTATATGCATGATAAACAGCTGTGCTTACTGTGACACGTAGGGCACCTTTTGCCATTGTGTGCAAATCTTGTTAGGGTCATGTCAAAGTCTGAGATCACCTGGAGCAGAAAAGAATATGAACACAAACCTCTAGTATTTTTCATTTTGGCCGATACTGTTTATGAGAGCTGCCAACAGGGTGTAGTTTACCTGGACGGTGTTGGAGCCAGATTTCGCCATGGACTGTAGGATCTCGTGTACCCTCTCAGGGTCCCTCATACACACCGAGGGGTTGGACAGCTCCGGGATCTGAGATGAGAAAATACGTTAAGAGTGTCAATGAGAGAGACACAGAGTGATTATGTGACGTTGGAGTTGTTTGTTTAGGCAATAAGGAGGAAGCATAGTTAGCTAGCCGGAAAGGTGCTAGCACCCAATTGAAAAGCACACTATTTCGCTTGCTAACTTACTCCCTGTCCACACAACATTTCCAAATGCTAAAACACTGACTCTATAGCTGTAATAATAACCAGTTTATGTTGTCATTTACTGACACGGTATAGCTAGCTAACAAAGAGAAGACCGTTAGCTAACGACACTGTAGTTTGTTAACCCAGTTTAGCTGGCTAGTAAGCAAGTACGCTGGTGTGGGATGCATCCTTTTTGGTGTGAGACATTCCGCCGAAAACTTGCTGAATAAAATCACCATTTTCTTGAAATTTGTTGCCGATCCGTAAAGGTTATTTTGACAAACAGCGTGTCATCAGTTGTTAATATTCGTTGATGTGTAATGTTGCTATGCACACGACAGAATCTTGTTGTTCTGCTGCCTTCAGGTACAGTCGTTAAGCGTCGGGATTTTAATAAATCGCACTAAATAGTAAAATTAAGCGTTAAAGAGTGCTAGTTCACGAGATTCAAGTGACTGTAGACCATGTATGGGAGCCGTCTTTATAAATTATGACGAGAAAATAAACATAATGTAGGTGACATATGTTCTCTGGTCTAAAGGGCTTCATTTTGTCTGGTATTTTTACAATTACGAGCCTCTGAGAAATATGTGAAGGCAGCACCACTACTTACATAACTTCAAGGTGGGACGGTGTGTACTCTTCCCCCTGAGGCAAAGGCACTGATTTAAGGTTCCACCCCATCCCTCACCCGAGGTTTCGCAGGACGATTAACTATTACTGAAGGGAACAAAAAAGCCCTGTTTACAAAGGTGAGCCAAAACTCTCGGTCATACATACATTTTAAATTAATCAAAAAAATCCAATCACGAAAGTCAATACCACTAACTAGCCTATCATTATAACCGCCACAACTGTGAGACTAATCAATTTAACTGTTGTGTTAGTTAGAAGTTACAAGACTTGCAAGTAGTACCTCTTTTAACCAGTGAAGTCCAACAAAGCAATGATACACTACATGTGCAAACATTTGTCTTACAAAACAATTTTAATTGCAAGTGATGACATTAGCATTTCTTACATCCAATATTAAGGACACAATGTCAGACTATCACATGCAAAGCAAATTACATAGCTTATACCACTTAATATCTGCAGTGCTATTAATGTTGGTTATAAAGTGGAAATGAATATCATTTCTGCGCTCTGTAACCTTTATGCTGTAATAGGCGCTGCCTGGACAGTGGGAATTTCTGAATGTCAGTCACAACACATTCATAAAACAATCCCTTTTGTTTTGCCTTTAAGTCTGATTCTCATTTTTAAGTCTCTTTGGAGGGTGAAGGGAGACCACAGAACAACATAGCAGATCTCTAATATACACCCAGCTGGCATTCAAGTACAGGAACACAAGGTTTTACAAGACATTTAATGTGTGGAAACAAATCTGAAAATGATGTTTACATGTTTTTTTCGTTTTTTTTTCAAAAAAGATCTGAACTTACTGGCTGTAAGCTGGCTAAAACAAACCATCTCCAAAATACAATCACCTTGTCTGACATGAAACAAATGAAACAAGCAAAGTCAAAGTGCAGTGGCAACTTAAATCCCTATGCTTCTGTAAGACTTTAGAAACAATTACATGTCGAAAAAGTGCAGTTCTACAGAAGCTTTTGCCATTCTTTGCAGAGTGACAACTGAACCCTCTGCAAACACAAAATCATACACACCCCTGCAGTCACACATATACACGTTTTCTATGTATCTTTCTAAAATGAATGGGAATACACTGAGCAACAGGCTGCCAAAGTGCAAAAGAAAAGAATGATTAAGCCATTGCTAATGATTGGTGCTAGAATGCAGTGGCCAAATAGAATGTTTCAGTGTTAAGGAAACTCAAAGGAATGCTTTCATTACATCTTCTCACATATTTTGGATATTACAGTCCTCTTGTCCTTTCACCTCTTCATAAACCTGGAAAAACATTTCTAGTTTTCAAGTTTTATGTGAGCAACAAAAAAGACAGAAATATACTCTGTACAACTGTTGAGGAGAAACTGCGATCTAAAAAGCAAACTAGTCTACAGGATTTTAAGATTAACAGCCTTTCTGAATCAATTCATATTTAGTTGTTGAGGCTGCACAGCAACAAGCAGAGCCATTGTAATAGAGCAACTATGATATAAGTTAGAGTTAAGACTTTTAGATCGATCATATACTGGCATGAGGAGATTGTCACAGTGTTACAGTGGAATGAGACTTCATTAAGCAGGTTGGACTGAATGTAGAAATGCAGTTAGTAGTAACGTCACATAGCCTTCCAAGTACAGGCATACAATAACGGAATGTAAAATATCCATATAAATGTATACATATACAGCTTTATACTATTTATGTACAAACAGATAAACAGCATCTATACCAACATACTTGACAAAAGGATATTCAGTTGTTGGCTGTTATATAACACTCTTATTCACATGTATACATCCGCCCTATCCCCCCTCACAGACAACCAGCAGGTCAGCACACGCTTGCCCACATATTTCATGGCTTTCCACAAATCAGCCATTAACACAACACAGTATGAGAGCCAATGGCACAGGGTTGAGATCAATGAAATGCGGGATGAGAGCAACACAAGACCCACCGCGGCGTGTTATGTACGAATGGGGGTCAATGATGATGGTTGCAATGGAATGGTGGTTTGCAGTAGATCCTCAGATAGAACTGTGCAGTTGTTGGAAGGAGCAGACACCGGCCTGCTCAACACTCTATCTGTGACTGGAGCTGCCGGCGCAGGGTGAGGGTGCGCCGGTGAAGCTGCTGCATCTGCTGCATGCGATCTCGCTGGCGGGCCAAGTTCTGGGGCATGGGGTAGCGCTGGCAGCCGTACAGGAAACGGTAGGGGATGCGGACATGGCAGGCTGTGGCTCGGCAGCGAGGCTGAGGCATGGGCGGCAGCAGCATCCAGCGCTTCCTCTCAGCACAGTAGCGGTAGGCCTCCTTACGATACTGCTTGTCCACGTCATCGCTGTTCTTCCAGCCTCCGATGATGAAGACATCCTCATCGAAGTGGCAGATCGCGGCACCCTCAATGCTGGTGACCTCTGGTGGCAGGCTCTCCAGGATCTCATCAGAGATGCGCACACTAATCTTCTGCCTGGCCACCTCATCCCGCACTGTGTAGCTCTTGGGGCAGCAGGAGGCTGTGTGGTAGAAGTTAGTAGAAGCCACAGCCATCTGGAAGATGCAGTAGTTGTCAATAAGGGGCAGGGAGTCAACATCTTGCCACTGGCGGCTCTCTGTGTCGTAACGAGTGGTCACAGTCTTCAGTCCATCCTCATTATCTGTATCAACAGGTGTACGTGCCGTGACGTACACATAGCGGTCCTCCACACTCACTGCCTTCACATCCCGCAGGATTTTGGGGGCAGATTCCAGATTGTGCCACTTGTCTTGCTCCGGCTCGTACACACTGACATCTTTGAAACCTGGACTGAAGTTTCCGTGGCCACCGATGCTGTACAGGATATCCTTAATGCAGGTGAGGCCAAAGGAATGCTTGCGTGTGGTCAAGTTGCTCACCTGCTCCCAGGTGTTGCGATTGGGATTGTAACGCTCCACCGTCTTTGCAAAGCCTGGCTCCATAGAACCGGCTACGTAGACATGGGACTCTGTGGCAGCGATGGCGTGGCCATCCAGGTGGTTGTGGATGTGCGGCAGGTTGACCCAACGGTCCTCGTAAATGAAGTAGCCAACACACTCACTCAGGTAGTCCCCCCCCTCTGACACTCCGCCCACTACCATGATAACGTCCATGTTCTGGCCAAAACGAGGCTGAAAGGAGGCCATGTGTGAAGACCAGAGCTCCATGTCAGCTGACTTGAGGTTTTCAAAACGAATAGCGTGACCCTCTACTGCCTCTGACACCAACCGGAGACAGGCCTCATTGGCAGCCACCAGATGCTCATTTTTCACCACCCTGGTCAGGTAGGTGGGCTTGATTTGGGGCAACCTCAGGAGACGGAACAGCTCCTCAAAGTAGCGGCTTCTTTCCTCTGGGTTCTTCTGCACCCACTTCACCACCGCCTCAAATAGCACCTCCTCAGAGTCCACTGTGATCTCTGCATCAGACAGCCAGTCACGGACCAGGTGAAAGGGCAACGTGTAGAACTCCTCATCCTGGATAACCTTATGGAAGTTGCGACGGATCATGTCTGCAGCCCGTAGAGCCAGCTGGTCCAGGGTGTACATGTGGGCTAGGCTGTGCACAGCCACACAGTTGGTCAAGCTCAGCTTCTTCTTCAGGAACTCCCCACAGAAATCCTTCAGTTGCACCAGGAGGAACCTAATGTACAGCCAACAGTGAGAAACACAGTATAGGATGTCAGAGGGAATTATCAGTTCCTGTTAAATAGATAATGCTACTCTGTTTCAACTGGTTAGGCCAGACCAGTCTAGAGCACAATAACAATACTTACAGGCAACAAAGCAGCCACACAAGGCCTCATGCTTTGACTATCAAAATCACTGTCTGTCAGTCTTTCAGTCTGTCTGTCTCTGACACACACACACACACACACACACACACACACACACAAACACAAACACAAACACAAACAGATGTGACTGTAAACAGAACATACCTATCAGCTAGCTCCAGTACTTCATGTACATTGCAGGTGCTGACGCGGATTTCACCAGTGTACATATACTGGATGACACTCTCCACCGTCTCCGGGTCCGGCCCCAGCTCTGAGCTCCATTCCTTCATCTCTACCCGTCCGGACAAGGACTCGGAGAACTGTCCTCCAAGCAGGGGGGTGAAATAGTCGGTGGCCGCAGCAAGCACTGATCTGTGGGCTGAAAACTCACATATCTGGACGCTCCCGGCAGCCGCCCCGCTGCTGAAGGCCAGCGTCACGTCGCAGAACAAGCCCTGCTTCCTCTGCTCGTTCTGCCGCCGAGACAGCTCCGAGCAGTGGGAGGAAGAGGTGAAGTCCTCGGCCTCTTCCGCGTCCCCGTCTCCGGCAAGGGCGCTGGGTGTGCTGGTTCCGCTGTTACCACTGCTCCTGGCGGAGTCCTCCGGGTTGGGGGCCGCCGCTGCCATACTGGTGCCAGCGCTGGAGGAGAGCAGTAATGGGAATTGAAATAAACTAGTGAGGGAAAGGAGGCGACATACGCAGCCACACATACATGGAGTCAAAACAGAGAACGAACCCGAAGCGCGTTTCACATTCGAGTTTCACATCCGCGACTTGAAGGGGAAAATAAGCGAGCCCAAAATACATATATTTCTGATGTAAATGCGATATTTTAGAGGGAATAGTTTAGCCTGAATTTCAAACAGAAGATTCATTTTCATGTCAAACTAGTGCTACGGATATTTTGTTAGATTTAACGTATAATCACAACCATCATTCAGCATGCGAGTAGCTACATGTACAAAATAATAACTTAATTATTCAAGATGACTAAAGTATTATTTTACATAGGCTACCAATCATAGATAAGCAAAAAAGCACCGTTTTTGGAGTCGGTAACGGAAGCGTCAGGAAACTACGAATGAGCAACTAACTTCAGCTTGGTAAACACAGACAGAATCTCTGACATGCGCAGTGGGTGAAAGGCGTAACCGCGTCGTTGACGTGAGCCGCCGTTCCCGAGCTCACTGCTGAGACCTGCACATGTAGACAAACTTGTACTGACATAGTTAGCCATACAGGCTTAGAGAATTTCAACACACTCATCCCAGCCTCATACCTTTATATTTGTACAGGTTCAGTATAATTACAGTGGATATCATTTTAATCCGTTGTGGCCTTTAATTAAATCAGACCATTTTACCCTATTTTGATGTTCTAATCCAGATTAATAGCAGGAAAAGCACACCGTTGATAACAATAATGGCTGTGTAATTAGGTGTGCCTGTAAAATATGTCATTCAGACACGTGCACAATAGCATGATTCTGCCACTGACACACCTACATGTAAAAAAAAATTTATTAAAATGTTATTAGTTACACCTGTGAATCACAAGTCATGAGGCATAGTCCTGTTCAGTTCCAGATTTAACACTTTAACAAAATATGTATGAAGCAAAAAAGCAGAATTGTTTACCTCAAAAGGTTCAGATAAGGAGATCAATATAAAAGATTTCAAAGTCCTTATATGTAGGAAGTAGCTCAATGCCACCTTAACCCTGCACATGCATTCAGTTACCAAATTAACTATTCAACATTGTATCCAGAAAGAGGTTAAGTATAAATATTTCAAAATTCAACACTGCACACACACATGCAAGACCAGAATGAAATCATACCACATTATTACATTACATCAATTACATTTTATTGTACTCAATTACACAGTTGTCAACATACAACAAATCAGTACAGAGGCACATCCAGTTCACACTGAAACAGTTAAAAACAAAAACATTGTGACAACACTGGTGAGGTTTGTCCACAGAATTTTTCTACAATTTTTGCAACATTTACAGAGAAGATGACACTGGTCATGGCTGCCACATACTTTCTTTTGGACCACATAAACATTTGGAAAATGTTTAACATTATCGAATGTCAGCGAGGATTACAGAAGAGAGTTCTGTCCTGCACCTAAGTCTAATGAAATTGGTAGTGATCTGGAAGGAGTGTCAAATTCTCTAAAAGGTGAGACCTGTACATCGTCTGTGTCACATTAAATGTTTTCGTTAAACAGAAACAGTCAGTGGATAATAGAGCGGGATTTTAAAGGTCATTCAAAGTCCAGTGTTGAACTTCTAACACAGAAATGAAACAATATGATGGAAAAATCTCAATTATTAAAAGAATATGAAGACATCTATGAAGACTAACATATTAATCATGTAAAAATATATAATGCCATTTAACTGCCATATTAGGCCGTCACAAAAATATTCTAACAACAAGTAAGCTTATTGTAATGGATTAGTGCATGTATTTAAAAAACAAAAACTGAATAAGAAGATGGGATTATAACTGAACTGCATTTTGGGATCTGAGGCAAAATACCATAATCCACTTAAAATGCTCGGGAAAGAAAAAAAACATTGAAATTACATATTTATTTTCCACTCTTGATGATTAAGAACTCTCAACTTCCATTTAAAACCTTGTAGGAAATACTCCCACGTTATGCACCAGCTGAGAGAGAACATTTCCTGCAGACAGCAAATGGCAGCACCTGCCAGGAATGACTCATGAGGTGGTCCCGTTCGCCACAGTAAGCAGACTGCTGTTTCACTGTTGTCAAAAAACATTACAGAAAATCAAAAACTATAACCATTTAGTTTTCACCATGAACACTTCTATACATAAATAAAGCTCTGATCTACAGTATGTTCTCATATTATTGGCATGACTGCACAACATGTTCACCCCTTGTAGCAAGCTCGTGATTTTGAAATGGCACAATGAAGAGAGCTGCAGAGAGACGGGATAGACACACATGCTAGGTTAATACAACAATGTAATATCTGGGCGTAAATAACAGCACTTCACTGTTGTAGCCATCAGAGTTATAGTGGTGGTGGTCGACAGGTGAATAATCCACTACCTCCCACCTGATTCATCATTAACTCTCCCTAACACACAGTCAGACCCTGACTCTGTGTGACTGGAGCTTCACAGTTTAGCAGGCTTCACTATTATTTACACAGATGCAGCACTAACAGGTTTCCAAAATTAAAAACATTAAATTCTTCTTTTTCAATAGTTGCCATTTACAGCTATATATTAGTAGTAACATCTTCCCTATATTATGCCACTGCTTCGAGGTGATGGGTCACAGTGTGGGGGACAGTAGGTTTAGACCCTCTGGTTACATGGACATGTGTTCAGGGAGCACATAGGAGATGTCATCCCACGGGTGGCGATACAGACCCTGCTTCAGCCTCTTCTGGTCCAGGTAGTGTCCTGAGGAGACAGAGACAGGAAGGATTGATTGACATACAAGGTAAAAAAAAAAAAAAAAGAAAAGGTGCTTGCATACATTACTATAGCGTGTGTCTGCACAGAGAGATGACTCACCAATGAATCCCATGCTGCGTCCCAGGACAAAGATGCCATTCAGAGCGCCGATTTCCACAAACTCATCAGCTTCATCCCTGCAGTGGCGTGATGGACACAAAGGAAGAGAGTTGATGAATTTAAAAAGAGAGCTGTACTCATAATAAAAAGTTTAACTGTATCAATCATTGTGAAGATGACCAGTAGACACTGTCTTACCTTGTAAAACCACCACAGGTCCTGAGCAAGTCCACAAAGGCAACACCAATGAAGCCGTCCACATTCAAGATCAAGTTGGGTTTCTAACACCATGAAACAGACACAGAGGGGGAGAAAATAAAAAAGAGGATAATGCAATTAAAAAAATTGTCTGTGATTATTTATTGATGAGATGATGAAATAACAAATCTTACTTTGGATGTGGTGATCTTCTCTACATCTAGAGCGTAGTCCAGAAGCTGGGTGGAGGGGAAGTGCTGCTTCACAAAGTCCTTCAAGATCTGGACTCTCATGTCTGGATTGTTGATCTGCAGAAACAGAGAATTCCAGTTCCTTCAAAATCTTCTTTCCTTCCGTCAGTTTTATTTTGTAGAGAAATAACCCCACATTTCTCTATAGGTGACAGTTTATTTATATCTCCAGTGCTCATCCTTTACTTGGTCATTCTGGCCTTAAAGCAATATTGGCAGTGTATTGTTTAATTGAAGATTCATGAAAAAGTAAAGTAAGTAAATAAGTAAAAAAAAAATCATTCTGCTGCTTTCCATGCTGGGAGCTGTGGTACTCACCGACTTGACTCTGTGTCCAATGCCCATGATCAGCTTGCCATCCTTCTTCATCTTGTTGACAAACTCCATAGGCAGCATACCGCTGTCAAATGCCTTGCTGAACTGCTTTGCTGCAGCATCCAGAGCCCCTCCAAAGCGATCACCCTGAAAAGAGGACCAGGAAAAAACTGTTGATTTTTGCAGGCAGGTAAATGGAGAACATGCATCACAGGCAACAGTGTCTTACAATGGTGAGGAGGCCCGAGGTGAGGCTGGAGATGAGATCTTTGCCAGCTCGGGCACACACAATAGCGTTGTGGGCACCAGAAACAGCAGGGCCGTGATCAGCAGTCACCATCAGGCACATCTCAATGAACTGGCAGGCATACCTCGGCAACCTGCAAAACAAAGTGGGGGGAAACAACACATCGTGATTTTGCACTCCAAGGATTTTTCAAGAGTTTGTTTCTCACAACAGCTGGGATAAGAGGCTGACCTCCTCTGGAACCAGAGCAGCCCCAGAGTTCCTCCCAGGCCTATTTCTGACTTGAAGACCTCGGTGATGGGCATGCCTGCGTAGATGAGCTCCTGACCTCTCTCGTCACAGATGCTGGTCATGAAAGAGGCTGGCTTACGGATCAGACCAAGCTCCTGCAGGGCAAAAACAGAGGCAAGGAGGAAAAAGAAAAACTTCATGTACTCATTGTTTTCTATCTGTTGCAATTTAAAACGATACGATTTGGTCAGGTGTTAAAAACGTGACTTCCTTCGCATACTCACTCGTGCCCAGGAGTAATCCATTGGCACAGTGGGAGGAGGCACCTCTTCGGCTGGCTGGATGACTCCTTTGGCAACAAGGTCGTCATAAACAGATCTGCATGGAAGAAAAGGGCAGGATGAAAAGAACTCAAACATTTATCTTTATCTTAGCATGATGAACTGAAGTAATGAACGTGACTGTGCACTGACTTGATTATCTCGCCCAGCTCATCAAAGCTCTTTGGGACGAAGGCACCGGCTTCTGTCAGGGCCTTGTTCTTAGCCACTGCCGTCTCAGAGGCCTGGTTAGCACAGGCTCCTGCATGGCCGAACTGAACCTGAGGGTGGGGGTGGGGGTGCAACATGGGTCAGAAATGTCATTCATTCCTTAAAATCTCTCACTATGCAGGTACTTAATGGTGCCCGAAATGTACCCGACATTACATCTGCCCTCTCACCTCTGAGGAGAACATGGTGGCACAGGTGCCAATACACCAGCACACCACTGGCTTTGTGATCCTGCCCTGTTTAATAGCCTGGCAGATCTTGTACTCCTCCGTGCCTCCGATCTGCAGACGGCAGAGACAAGATACTGGATGTAGCAAATTGATAACCGTTTAAAGCTGCAGACAGCCGTGTGTGTGTGTGTAGATTTATTCCTCACCTCTCCCAGTACAACAATCATTTTTACTCCAGGAGTGTCTTGGTAGCGCAGCACATGGTCAGTAAACACAGAGCCCGGGTATCTGCAGAGCAGAGGAGACCAGAATTATACACCAATTCAAAAACACACAGACTCACATCCTGGAGATAAAAGGCATTTACGTACCTGTCGCCTCCGATGGCCACACCTTCAAAAACACCGTCAGTGGTACGGGAGATGATGTTGTTGAGTTCGTTGGACATGCCGCCTGAGCGGGACACATAGGCCACGCTGCCTGGACGATAGAGCTTGGAGGCGAGGATGTTATCCAGCATGCCTCCTGTGTTCCCTATTTTGAAACAGCCCGGCTTGATTCCCCCAACCTGGGGAAAGAAAAAAAAAAAAAAAAAAAAAGGTGAGAGGAGAAAACACAAAGGGAAATCTTGAGCCATCTTGTGAAAAGTGAAGCAAAACTAACAGTTGCTGGTCCAATGATTGTCACTCCCTTCTCATCTGCTGCCTTGATGATCTTCCTGGTATGGGCTTCAGGGATGCCCTCAGCGATGATGGCAATGGTGTGAATCTGAAAGCAATGGAACAGAAAGGGTTGACTTTAGAACCTTACTTAAATTGTATTACCTCCCAATGGTAGAGAAGGGCGTTTACCTGTGGGTACTGCATGGTCTCCATGGTGCTATCAAAGGCCGAACGCAGAGAGGCAAAGTTGATTAGCACGTCCACGTCTGGGTGCTTCTTCATGGCGTCACCCATGTTCTTATACACAGGGATGAGGATCTCTTTATGGCCCCAGTAGAACTTCTGTTTATGGTCTCCACTGGAAGGCAGCCGTGTGGAAAGTATAATTAAATGTGCAATAAAGAGCCATTACACTGACGCCACACAAAAGAGTTAAGAAACGTGAACTTACGTGAACGGGTAGACCATAGCTGCGACAGACGGCTCCTCTCTGGAGCAGACATAGTCAAAGTCCAGCATCCCCTGTACAGCCCGAGTCTGCATACCCCACACTATGGACTTGGTGTGTTTGCTGAAGAGGGAAGTTGCCTTGGCTACAGGGAAAGAAAAGTTGTTACAGATAGAAACTGAAGACAAGGTGACTTTTTCCAGAGATCGAAAATGAACAAATTATATTATAATTATAATAAAACAACAAAAATAGTAAAACATGTTGATTTTTAAGATATATGAGAGTAGATGTGTATGTGTGGAGTTGTATATAGAAACACTGTTAATTTCAGTTTAATTAAGTTTGGATTGCAGAGTCCTCCTGCTGTCCAGAGAGGGAGCTATAACACCTAGATTTGACCAAGCGTGATCACAAGGCCTCTACCTATTATGCTGCCCAGCAAAGGAACCAAGTATGAAAACATCCAAGCCTCAGAATACATTACAAAGATTTCCCAGTGCAGTGCAGTGCAGTGGTGTGTGTGTGTGTGTGTGTGTGTGTGTGTGTGTGTGTTTTCTAACCAATAGGAGCTCCACATTTGACCTTCTTGGCTGGTGAGCCCTCAACTCTGGCTCTGTTTTCAGAGAAAGAACCAGTCCTGCTGGATGCTGGAGTCTGGAAAGAAAAAAAATGAAAAAGAAATACAAAAAACAATGACTTTTATTTTGTAAAACTGAAACACTCTAAATATATCTACCTCTTCATTTGAAGTAAATGGGCACGCATGTGTGTGCACATGTTGAGACACACGCTCACACACACACTCTTAGTTGAAAGTCTGCACATTCTTAATGGATGCCTGGAGGCAGCCACAGTGGGTGACTGTGTCTCACGACTATTTGAGTGCGAGCAGTCAACAAAGCCCTGCAATGCTCTTACACAAAAGAGCCGTTGGGCTTTCTGATAATCTGGTTCACTAAAAGGACAAGACAAGCAAAGACTGAAACAGAGACTGTGGCTTGTAAGTCTCCTGCTCACTCTGCCGCTAAACTGCACCGCACTATTGGTGGATTGGACGGTCCTGAATTCCCTGCACAGTGAGCCGACAAGACATCACGACAGCCTATTTGTCTCCGTGGAGCCAGTATGTGTCATACCGATGTGCTGCCGCTGGAGTTGAGCAGGAAGTTGGCAGTGTGGGCGGCAACAGGAGGCTGGTTGGGGATTGGCCGGTGGCCCAGTGCCATGCCGACAATGGCTGTCATGTGAGTTTCTGTGCCAAAGACATGGATGGGGATCCCAGTGGTCTTGCCTGAGGAGAGCAGGTTCAACAAAATTAAGTGTGGTGTGTGAAAACCTGCAGGTGCTTCCAGATTTAAAAAAAAAAAAAAAAAAAGAAAAAACATACTCAAGACACTGAAAGTGTAAGATTAAGAAATTAAAGTATAAATCAGTGTAAAGTAAGAATCTATAAACACACCAACTTCTCCCATCACTCTGAGACCCTCCTGGTAGTTGGGGCCTCCACGGCGGACAAAAATGGTGACCTCATGCTCCTTTAGTGGCACCTGATAGTCTCTGATGGCTCTGACAATCCCCTAGTAAAGACAAGAATATACTCAGTAAATAACTTGATATAGAGTGAATAGTATAAGGCTACAAAAATAAACAAAAAGCATATTATACTGTACCTTAAATGTTGCTGCAACATTTGTGAAGTTTGCGATGCTTCCGCCGATGATCAAAACCTTTCCTGTAAAATTATTGATACATTATTTTAGGGGGGAGGGGATGTCTACTCTCAGTCCACACAGAAAGTTTTGACACATCAGTTTTCCTACCATCGAGGTGCTTCTCTCTGGTCATCAGCGACAAGATGGTTTTGGCATAGTCATAGGTCTGCTGTTCGCTCGGCGCTCCTGAATACTCCCCGTAATTGGCCAGCTCGTTGACGCCGCCCAGGTCACAGATTGTGTCACTGAGAGGAAGTTTACAGAGGTTAACACACAAACACACACACACACACACACACACACTGGGGAAAAAGCTATAGCAACAACAGATATCCGTCTATCTCCTTTGTTGGGACAGTCTCTACACCTCCAACAATAAACACAACTTCAAGAGAAATGAGATAGAACCTGAGCACTAAGCTCCAGAATGCACTCTTTCCGTATATTAATGAATTAACACCGCACCGTAAACAGACAGCAACAACTTAACAGTGCACAGAGGGAATAATTAGTTGTGGCTGACGTGTCCGCATGTCACGCTTTACAACCCCGACAGACGGCGGAGCCCATTTCTCCAGACTCTCGCATCCAAGAATCCAATTTAGCAGGAAGCTGAACGAGCAGAGTCTGAGCCGCTGCACCATCAGTCTCGCTGCTACGTCGCTGGCATACTCCACTAATGCTAAACCCAATTATGCGTAGTGTAATCAATATAATGAGGATAAAGTCTGGGGACAATTTAAGTAACAAAGAAAAACATCCAATTGAATTATTTCATACATGGCTACTGGGGTTTTATTTATTCAGGATTTGATTTATGGAGTGTGGTCTTGTTCTGTGCACTGAGGCTGGGTACCTGTACACCACTGAGGCACCTCCTCCTGCCACCATGGTCCAGATCCTGCCTCGGGGGTTGAGCAGGGTGAGTTTAAGGCTGGCACCACTCTTGGCGTCCAGGTCGGCAATGTAGGCCTCCTGCAAAAGTCAAAGGAAAGGTCAGTGAGAGGATGGTTATATGAATGCTGCAGAGGTGAGGCATGGCTGGGGGGTGGATGGGGTGGAGTGGGTGTGTGACTGCAGCCTTAATCAGAGCAGGACCTTCACAAGCACCACTTCACTTGGCTACATGTGCTCGCACTGATGTTAAAGAGGCACTGGAAATATTAAATAAATATTAAGCTTGGTGGTGGATGTGATGTGCATCCGTGGTTGTTTGTGACAGTCAGAGTCACAGCTGGTGGCTGAGTGTAAAAAATGTCCCAATCAAAAAGACAACCACAGCCCCCACCCCCCCACCCCTCTCCACTCTGGACTCACAGCAGCCCAATTAGACCAGCCCGTCTGGTACACAAACAAGTCTCAAACAAGCCTCTACACACATCAGCCAAAAATAGAAAAAAGGAAGATAACATGTGCACATTGAGCCATTTCTAAATAAATACATAGGCACACAATTGCTTCGTTATACGAGATGATATTATGCACGGGTGTCTGCTCAGGCGACCTCTCCACAATGAGTCATAAAGGCTAACTAACAGCCTAATCATGTCCACAGTGAGGACAGTACGAGCTGCAACAGACATTTTCTACTGTACATTTAATGAGAATCTGATTTTAAAAAAGGAGAAAAACATTCTTAAGTTACCTCTGAAATTGGTAATTTGCCAATTTTACATTCCACTCTATAAGCGTTCCCCCCCCCCTCACTGGACAACAACACCAGCTCTTTACTGCTGACAGACTGAAATCTGATGCAGGGCTCCTCCTCCCTCACCTCAGGATAGGCCTCCCTGCCGAATGGTGGAGGGAACTCCACGTCACCCCACTTGGCCTTGCAGATGTAGTCAGCCGTGGCATCAATCTTGGCTGCCATGTCCAGCACGTAAACTCCATTTTTTGTGACCACTGAGGAGGGGAAACAAACATGTTAGGATCTATACTCGAACAAGATTTACAAAACAGCCACCTACTGAGATTCACTGTGTTAGCACAGAGCACTAAGCTTTAAATAGATCAAGAGAAAATTGGAGAGGATGGTGATCAGGTCCAGGTGACCCACAACCTTCCTGCTGGATCCTTAGGAGGTGGAAGGGAAGAAAAGATGGAGAGGAGGTGGTATGACATCAAAGCAGCGAGAGCCAGTCTCAGCAGCCCCAATCACATCCACAGCAACAGCTGCCAGGGGGCATAAACTGGTGCCCAATTACTCCATTATAAACACACGCTGCCTTCATCAAACAGCAAGTGCATGAATTATTCACCTATTTCCTCCTTCAGTGTTAAAAATGTGGCAGAATCAACTTCTTCCTCCTGGTTTCAAGATGATGTTTTATTGATGTTTTCCTCCCCAATTTCCTTTTGATGTTCTCTTTCTTATTTCATAATCTGATAACATATTTATGAGTCTGTGTTGGGATGAAGTGTAAGTGCCGTCACGATTGCTTGTTAAGACATAGCTTGTCATGTTATTGGGGATTTTAATTAAAAAAAACAAACAAACAAACAAACAAAAAAAAAACTCCTTACCCAATGGGTTGATCTCCAGGTATGTGAAGAACAGGTCTTCATACAGGTTAAAGAGTCCAACAATGAAGCTGGCCAGGACCCTGCAGAGAGATGACACTTCAATTTTAGGATCTGCTGCTGCAGCACCAGTTTATACCGAGGATGTCTGCAGGGGCAGAAATTTCATTTCGCTACTTGGGGGGGGGGGGGGGGGGGGGGGGGGGGGGGGGGGGGGGGGGGGGGGGGGGGGGGGGGGTGGGGGGGGGGGGGCAGAAAAAAAATCTTAAGAGCAGTTCCTGAAAGGGACACACAGGTGGCGTGGAGAATTCTTGTTTTCATGTTATCCAGAAGTAGTTATAAACTTTTAAGACTAAGAGTGGTGTTTAGAGTTAATCATTTTGTATAAATATATATATGAAATATATATTTATATTTAAATTTCCCATGAAATATCAGCAAAGTTTAAGTCATGTGTATTTAGTGATATCAGATGTCTATCAACATACATGACAGAACATGTCATACGTGCTGTTTTGTAAATGGGCTATGCCATAGCTGAATGGGCAGCTGTTCACATACACAACATCTTTTTAATCTTGTGCATTTGCTTGTTGTCAATGTATTTTATCACTACAGCACCTCTGTTCACCACATTTTTTTTTTTTTAATTTATTTATTCAAATATTTGTTTTTTTAATGCTATTTTAATGTCATCTTAATGTCCTATTTTTAATGTATTTCCATGACTCTGTAAAGAACGTTGAATTGCCTTGTGTCTGAATGGTAGTATATAAATAAACTTGCCTAACAGCATGGCCATTATATTTTCCATATAAGTCAAACCATGACAAACAACAGGCAATATCACTGAAGGATTGTTAAGGCTGAGCTGGACAGGAAACAGTGTACCTGTAAATTAACTGCAGAGACGTTGCTGTAAGTCTAGGAAAAATCTAATTTACTTCCTCCTTCACATGTCAAAACAGAGCAGTGAAGGGGGTGGGGTGGGGGGTGGGGTTACTGGAAAACGAGGAGGAGGAGGAGGAGGAGGAGGAGGAGGAGGAGTAAGCCAGTATTTTGCTCTCCTTTCCTGCTTGTCAATTGTTCTGGCAGTTGAGAGCCTTGTGTAACAACATCAGCATACTGTCAGGGCTCTGACTGGGCCCTGCGAGAAAACTGTGACCCAGACCCAGAGTGACTCAGCTTCCCAACATGTCCGATTCTGATGGGAGGGCAGACAAACAGCCAAGTGCTGCTCTTGTTTTCGATTCAGAGTGTGAAGGGTGTGTGTGTGTGCGTGTGCGTGTGCGTGTGCGTGTGCGTGTGTGTGTGGGGTGAGGAGGTGAGCTGCTGTTGGCAGAGTGATTCCTGGGGCGGCTTCTTCAATGTCAGCCAAGACAGTGAGTCCGGCCAGAATGTGCCGTCATAAGAGCACTGCTGGAGAGATGGATAGGAGGGGGTGGAGGGGGTGGAGGGGGTGAGCCAGTGCACCGTACCCATCAAAATAAACAGACGTGCTCTGAATGTGGCTGTGGTGTAAGAACGGCTGCGGGTGGAGGCTGATCAAAGAGAGGTGAAGCGGAGGAGGGAGTTTGTCATTTGTCTAATGGAAACCCTCCATCTCCTCCTGCTCCCCCCATCTTTACTGCCAATATAAAAGTGCTGTCTCTTACGTCAATTAAGTGACTCTTTTGTTTTCCACCACTGGTCAAGAGTTAAACTAAGTAATGGAAAATGCACTTTTTAGTAGTTTGGTGATGAGCTACTTCACTATGTTGTGAACGGGAAAGCAAATCACATTTAGTTTACATTTCTGTTTCCTTTTTAGCTTTAAAAAAAAAAAAGTCCACAGGCTGTAGCACATCCAGACATTTTGCTTTTCATTTTTAAAACACACATTGTTTAGCTGGTACCAAGTTACTGCTTCAAGTTAAAATACCTTTTAATTGTCATGAAAATCAGTCATCTAAATTTTGAAATGAACTTGTAATCTTGGGGGTATGAGACTGAATATATGCCGATTTCTTAATGAGCATCAATGTTCTTCGACAGAAAACTATAAAGCACAAAAACAGAAACATTTGTCTAGGTTAATAAAATCCAATATAATAAGCTAATTCTATAATATATTAAGCTTATAAAATTAAATTTCAGTTGGAAACATTATGATGAAGTTCCCAGTTCAACTCATCTCTGACACAGTCCTTGTTAAAAGTGAACACCATAAACTTCAAGCTACTGTATTGAACTACATCTTTAACCACAAATATCATGTTCACTTCCTGTATTTCACTGTGGTGCATCATTGACAGAAAGCTGAAGTTCTGCACACGCACTCTAATTACTATCCAACTTACGCTTTCTTGTCATTTGGTGCGTGAGTCAGCAGCTCTTTCTTCACAGATTCTTCGCTGATCTTTTCATCCACCGCAATTAGCAGCTTCTTTGCCTTGGCATCCACGTCTCCTACGTCCACCCCTCCCTCATGGTGAAACAGCACGTAGTCTCCCTCCCGGGTGGCGTAGATGCACACGTAGAACTCCTCCTCCTGAACCATTGAATTGACAAAGATGTCAATTAATAAATGTCCTCTACCACTAGTATCTATTAGTAGTAATGATGATGTATAAATAAGGCATTTAAAAACTGAGGGTTGTGTAATGAGTGGTTTACCTGCTTGTGGGGGACAAATGGCTCGATGAGGAAGTTCTTGAGAATGCCCTTGGCTTTTCCCACCTGAGGATCATCAACAAAATAATTTTCTTAATGAAAAGGGATACAAGATACTGTTAAGAGAAAAAGAACATTAGAATAAACAGAACAAACTCCCACTGGGAAAAAATACACTGCAGTTGCTCTCTGGTCTGCAGATTGTGGATGTTTCCACATCAACACATTAATCCCTAATTTTCAGACATAATTCCTGGACTGTTAAAACACAGAGGACCACCACATGGCACAAGTGAATAGAAATTTCAGAGGAAAAAAAGAGACAGGTTGGGAAGAATGAAAAAGAAAATGTCATCATGTATTAGTCTAGGCAAAGCCTCACTAACACAGCCACGGCTCATTTGGTGAAGCTGTCACTGCTCCTCTGTTAAAGGCCAGCAGGCAAAAAGTAACCAGGGACTGGCTGAGAGCAGTCAGCCAGAGAGAACAGAAAAAAAAAAAAAAATCATGAAATGGGAGAGAGGGAGTTGCCATTTTGAAGAGCGAAAATAAAAAGGATGACGATGATGGGTGGAAAAAAACAGAAAGCCTATCTGATTGAAAAGGACACAAGGGGCTCAGGCTGATTCAGATAAATAACACCTCTGTGACTGGTTCTCAGAAGAAGAAAGAGGAAGGCATTCATGTTGTTAATACAATTTGTATAGCGAATGATTCGGCTTAACCACTAGTGGTAATAAAGTGAAGCAATGTGGCCAAGAGCAGCAAAGAAGAGAACTGAGCAACACAGGGAAGAAAATAAGTGGCATGATATTTTGAAGTGTACAAGTGTAAAAATGCTGCTATAAAATAAAATGATTCACAAGTCTTGGAGTGTCTTGTTCCTCTTCACACTGCTACCCTGATGACTTCTTGCTAGCTAGTTTCTAAAAAAAAAAAAAAAACAGTAACCTGGAAGTAATTAGCAGTCAAAAGAAGACGCTTATATGTAAGTGGCAACATCCTAGAAATGAACATGAAGAAATGAAGCTTTCTTGCCTATAAGAAGACCAAACAAGACTGTTGTATTAGGTTACAGATTTATTCTAATTTAATGCACCTTTTACAATTTTAGGAAAACAGAGGTAATAAGAGTCTAGCTGCGCATTGAGGCTGCACTTCGGCCCAGAGGTGCTTTGAGCTAAATGCTAATGTTAACATACTTACATGACAAAGCTAACATGCTGATGTTCAGCAGGTTTAATGTTTACAGTGTTTATCATCTTAGTTTAGCGTGTTAGCATTATACGCAAATTACAACTGAGACTGATGGAAATAAACATAATAGTCGTTAATAATACAAAGTACTGGACAAAGTTAAGTTTTGGGAAGCTGATAAATGTTGTTATAATTCATCCTTCAACTTTAACTCTACTAAATTACTTTTAGTCTCAGGAGGACAATGAACATAACATAATCCAACAAGCTGAAACACTGCACTGTGTCTACAATACCGCTGTGGCTTCATTTATTCTTATTTACTGCCACCAGCAGCAGCTGACAGTTTCATCTCATCCGTGAAGAGATACATCCACACAACCTCAGTGCTGCAACACACCAACACACACATGCAGACACTCTTCTTCAGTACTTTATGAACCGTCTGCGTCTCCCCATGACTTGCTTCTTGGTTTATGAGGCAAAGAGGCGTCTCTGTGGCACAGTGATGGATCTTTTTGTGCTGTGCCTATGCTGACTGGATAAATGGACCGACTGTTTATTCACTAGCCGCACTCGCCTCAGCTGACTGGACTGATTTACAACCAGCAGACTAACACTCAACCCCTCAGCAACCTGGGCATCAGGCAAAAATATATACAGAAGCCAAATGCGCCAGTGCAAAACAGAAAACGGAAGGGTGAAGGAAAGGGCAACAGGAGGAGGGTCTGAATAATGCACTGGGATGATATTGATCGTAGGAGTGCTCAGCAAAGTGCACCCCCGAAGATAGAGGGGCGGGTGGAGGTAATTGGCTAAGAAACAGCAGAGAGGGAGAAGGTGGATGACGTACCACTGTCTCTTTCATTAGGCGGGACTTCAGCCACTCTTTGACGCCATTCAGGTCCAGGTTGACGCCGACCAAGCCCAGCTTCCCTCGCCTCTTGATCAGCTGGTCTGGCTTCACCACCAGCCTCTGGAGGACAAAAAAAAACAAAACAAAAAAAGACACTGTCTGTAAAACAGGACCGACAGGCATCTCCACTTAGCTTCAACTGAAAGACATCAAACTGATATTTGACAACTCAGCTCAGCAGAATGGCTGCAGTCATTTTTATACCTTATTTTATTCACATCATTTATGATTTCCTGCAATCTCACTGAATTACACATTTTAAAAAGAGATCAAATCAGGAAAAATATAAAGCTCAACATGTTTTTATAGATGACTTGATTTCTCAAGCATTCACATCATGACAGAATATTTATTTACATGACTGTTGAAAATGTCACACTGTTTGTATATCTGTTAATGACTCTCTGTTGCTCTTCATTAGCCGTCTTTAGATTCAGCTACAGTTGAAAAGGTTAGTTAATAAATCCATTAGTCGATCGACAAATGTAAAAGCAACAGCTTTAAGAAAAAAAAAAAAAAAAAAAAAAAAAGGTTTTCCGTTATAGTGAATTGAACGTTTTGGGGTTTTGGTCTCTTGTTCTGACAAAAAAAACTATTTGAAGCTCAAGTAAATTGTGATGGCCATTCTCCATTATTTCTGACAATTTATACAGCAGCTAATTCATCAATTAATCATGAAGACATCTGGCAGATTAATTGATAATTAAAAGTATGGTTAGTAGCAGCCCTAGATTCAACTGAAATTAATTCTGTTTCAGATTAAGCCAAATGTCTAAAGTTGGTCACTAATCAAGAATCCAGCATAAAGATGTGCTCCATGAACTGCATTTGAAAAATTGCAAATAAAGCTTTTATGCAGTGATGATAGGCCATTCTTCTCATCTTAACTCACTGCACGCGACTGCAGATATTTGCTTATTTTAGTCATGCTATCACTCAGATATCTGGGTTCTTCAACTAACCCCAGGATGTCAAATAATATTCATCACCTGAAAACTGAGCTGCAAATGATTTAAGTAGGAAGCTCTCATACAGATCATTCCCTGATGGCACGAAAGCAAAATTACATCCAGCCCCCACCGTCGAAGCCCGCTCCCCCTCTCACTTGCAAGACAGATAAAAGGGAATGACTTATGACAGTGCAGCCATTAGTATCTGGGAGCTCGCCAGTCAGCAAAGGAACAGAGGGCCGAGGGTGAAAGTTAATGCAATTTCCTAATCAATGCTATGGCAGCACATCTCTGCGTGTATCTGTCCTCCGCATCCTCCTCGTACCTTCCAGATAAAAACCTTCAGCCATGAGGGAGACACAAGATGAGTCATAGAGTGATTCAATTAACTTCTATTACAGCCTGTCTATCTGCTACTATTTCGCTGTGAAGACCAGTTAGAGCAGGGCAAGGTGGAGACCAAAAACTCCTACCTCTGCTGAACTCTGACCTCCCTGTGGAGAGGGCAAATGAGAATTTCTCTACACAAGGAAGCTGCTGGGCTTACTTCAGGCCCACTCGCTCAGAGCCATGGATATAATTAAAATGCCTTTATTATGTTAGGGAATATCAGAGTAAATCACACAAAAAGGGAATAAAAGGCTGACTGGTTTCGACCACTACAGGGTCTTCCTCAGGGTCTTTTGCTCTCTTCTAAATTAGAGCTGCCGGATCACTTTGCTGTCAGTGACGTCAGATAACAAGCGCCAAGAGACCACTTCACCGCCAGCCTAAATAATTGTCTCTATAAGAGGAGACTGTGCTTTAGACATTTATGGGCTATAAATCTGTGACGCAACAAACTGTTCATGCAGGCAAAATAAATAAATATCTTTTTTCTTAGTCATAAATGTGCACTTTCATCATAGCTGGTTCTCAGCACTGGTCTTTGGTCTTACCTCTGTGAGCAGCCATGGGTGCTCTTGCACCAGTCGGTCAAAGTCAGTCTCAGCTGTCACGTTGGCATAGCGGAATCTGTTCTGGACAGCCGCCGACGTGCAGATGTGCTTGTACAGGAACTCCTTCCCTGTCTGCTCGGAGATAGCTTTGGCTGACATGACTGCTTTAGTCTAGACCGACCTAAAAAGGGCAGGGGAGACAGAGAGAGATAGAGATGAATGGGGAGATGATCAGATGAGCAGTGAGTGTGTGGATGGATGAATACAGAAAAGCAGACATGATGGACGGAGACATGCTTTCTGGATTCATAGAGGATTCTCCTGATGACTGTAGAAACAACAACACGTCTGCTGTCAGAACTGTCAGGAAGTGGTCTAGTCACTATGTGATTGAAAGACAGCTCTGTAATTTGTATTTTCAATGAATTACATTTTTTTTTTTTTTTAAACAAAAAAAAAAAAAAAAAAAAAACTGTGTGCCATTATGTAATTTAACTGCACAGAATTAAGTGAGACTGCTGGAAAACCAGATTACAGACTTCTGTCGTTCTGTTTCTCTCACGCTGAACCCAAGCGAGACACAGACTGTGAAGCCAGTGAAGCTAAATCCAACACAATCAGCCTCGGTTTGTTTGACCTGCACGGTAATGAGGTAATGGCCACTTATTTGGCCTTCAGACAATCAGATTCTAAAGGAGCAACGGGAGCGTGTGCAGAACTGGACTCTGAGGAGTAACATCAGTTTGATCTGATGTGACTCATTATTAGCAGAGCTGGAAAGCAGCCGAGACACATGAAGTGATAAGAAATTGATTTTTTTGGTGCATTACTTAAGTGGTGGAACGTGACAGATGTAAAATAAGAAATTCAATAACCTGTAATAGCATCTATAAAGTTTATGGCAGCAGGGCGGAGCTATGACCTTTATTCTTTGGCCAGATGTCAGACACGCAGCTCACAACAGGACATCCTGGTTTTAAACTCACAGCATCAGCTGTGATTTTCAGTCACTTCATAATAAACATGATAACAATCTTTACAGCTATTTTGTCTTGTTACTGTACAGAGGAGACACATAACACACAACATGGAATCATTTTTGTTCAATGACTGAACCCAGATCAGGAAAACAGGATAAACACTTGCATCGTAATTTGGAATTACAACACTTGCACGTTAAACTCCATACTGAAATCTAGAGGCTTATAGTCTGATCAACAAGAATATAATGTACTTCTTGAACAAACATGGCTTTTACGAAAATAGAAGATTAAACTTAGGGCAATAACAGTATAACATTTTTATCTGTTTTACCTATCTCCAGTTTCACTGACTACAATCCATACACAGTAAGTACAGACATTAGATCATCCATCGTCAGATCTTTAACCTCAGCAAATTGGAAAAAAAGGGTTAGGGTTAAAAAAAAAAAAAAAGTACATTAAATTTGGCAAATTAAATTTAAACATCCTGTTTAGAGTTAAAAATATCAGTCAATAAAACTAAATAACAACTACTCTGATTATTGATTAATTGCTTCAATAATTTTTCAAGCCAAAAATGGCAATCTGAGCTAGCTCCAGCTTTTCATTAGTGAGGATTTGTTGCTTTTCTTTGCCTCCTGTCTCCTTTAGGTTTAGGACTGTTGGTTTGATAAAACAAGAAGTCTGAGGACATCTGCGTTTTCACAAACTGTGACGGGCATTTTTCACTATTCTTACTTTTTAGAGATGAAAACATGGATCGTTTAATACGTCACTCACTGTTACACCGACCAGCAGTTTGACTGGAGGACCGGATTATGAAACAGTATTTTGGTAAACATTTGTTAAACTCCTAGTGCTTAGAAGCAAATGTTACTGCTTCTACCTCAAATCTAATGGACACCAGAATTGAGAAATGTGGCTTATTGAGGCTATAACACACAAGAGTCCCCTAATTACCACCTCTCAAAGCTCATTGTATAACCTTGCAGGGATGGAGGACCTGCTCTGTTTCTTCCATGTGTCTCATTAAGCTGAAAGCCCTGATGTCGGCTCTAACCGGTCTCCCCTCTCTACACTGCGGTCCTGGCAGCCATTTCTTAAATAGATTAATAGATTTTCATGGACCTTTCTCACTATTGATCATTGTCCCTGAGTCTCCACAGCACTGGTTCCAGACAAGGCAAACGTGGTTTATCCAGAGCTCATCCCTGTTCCATACATCATCCACTTTCTCTGTGCAGCTGACCTGCCAGAGGAATTAAGTATCTCTGCTCCACAACAACAATAACACCAGTCCAGATGACACACGGTTGATGATGGATGGCTGGAGAGGAGGCAATGTCAGATACAGATTTAAATCAGCACAAGGGCACACTTCATCAAGGTCAAAAAACAAAAAAACAAACAAACAAACAAAACATAAAAAGGTCAAAGATTCAAGTTCACTTTTAACTTCACCAATTTTGACCTGATAACTCATACAACAAAACCTGCTTGACTTTGCAAGAGGGTTGAGTCATACATCCTCGAGAAGGAGGATTCTGCCAACTGATTCATTCATTCACAAACCGGTCAGACAGCAATGCACTTTTTTGTGCGTGCGTGTGTGTGCGTGTCCGGCAAATATCCACATCTCCAATCAATGAATACTTTCTGTGACCAAACTTCCACAGAACAATGATGAAGGAAGAGTACATTTTAATACGGGTTGTGCTGGACCGAGCAGTTCAACTTGTTTAATCTTCTGATCTTTTGTCAGAGACACAGACAGAGAGAGAGAAAGAGTTAGAGGAAGGAAACAAAAAAAAAGTCTTCATTTAAGAGCAGTAATTAATTTACCTTGCTTTTTGAATGTTTTTTATCTTCCTCTGGCAGTTGTAGAAGTACGTCGTGTCCTGGTGTGGGTGTTTGCTCAGCGGTGCTGCTCCACTCTCGCCGCCTGTGGAGACCGGTGGTGCCGGAGAAAGAGGCTTCCTGGGAGTTTTGTCTCCATCGTTCATCTGCCGATAGGCTTGGCTGATGTTTTCTCGCCTCTGATTGGTTCATTCCACACCATGCTCTATTGCTGCCTTCAAGGGCTGACGGAAAAAAAATCCTTCTGAACAGCACACGAGCACCGGGACAAATAATTTAAACAAGACAACGGGAAAGTCTGATTTTCGTCCGGTTTTTATGGTAGAATCAGAATGAAATGTCGCTGTGCTTAGAACAAATATCAACATGTGGAAAATTTCATTATCTATTCGTGTTATCAGGAAAAAGTGATAACTGAATATTTTCAATAATTCTTATTTTTGTTTTTATAGCTGACTCACTGTCACTACAGCTTTAAAATTAAACACAAATTACACACGCTCACACGTTTTCTCCACTCCATTGTGTCACTGAGACATACAGCAGCTCTGCACTGCTTGATCTATCAAACAAACAAACAAACAAACAAACAATGATGAGTGTGATGAAATTTAACTAAGTACATTTACTCTTAACACAAATCTGACATACTTATAGTATTAAGTATTTCCATTCCATGCTACTTTATATAGGCTACTTCTATTCCAAAACAGTTCAGAGATAAATATTGTAGTTTTTACTTCTACAGTTACAGCTAGTTTCAACTTTCTTTGCAAATTAAATGTTTGTATACAAACCATTTAAGGACCTCATAAAATATGATGCATTGTTCTAGATTAACAGTATGTAATAGCATATGAAATAGTTAAAATTGACTCAATCTTGACCAACTTCATCAGTAAAATGCTACTTTATTACATTACCAATAATAATTAATTGTATAACACTCATAGGGGCCTTGAGTAGTTTTACATACTTTTGCCATTGCACTTTTATACGGCATATTTTGAGAGCAGGACTGTTACTTGTAAAGAATTATTTTTACAGTGTGGTGTTGCTTCTTTTACTTCATTACAGGGTGTGAACACTTATACAGAATTTCTGTCATTATTATCAATCAAAAACACTTGAAGTTCCCAACAATTCCATGTCAAAGAAGTGATTCCCGGGGGTACTTGAAGGTATCATTGGCTTCCTCACCAAGCTCCCACACACACCACTCATGGAGAAAACAGGGCAATTATCTGCCGCTGATGTTGATTGGTTGACACACTTTTTTTTATCTACACAGCAGCCAATGAGGAAATCACTTCATCTTGCACACAACCAACACATCGACTCTGAGGTGACAGCAGTAACTTGTAGGGTTCATGGTCTTTCACCTGTCCTTGGCCTACACCAGGAAGTTGTTTTTAGTTTGAAGGGTGCAATGTAGAGTAAACGCAGTTGTATATAGGTTTTAGTTTGAAATGGAGATAGTCTGCATTAAAAAAAAACAAATTATTTTTTTGCCTCTTCTCAGAGCAATGTGCTGCAGTGTGGCAGGGGTGGCTGTGTCAGCCTGATAAGATGCAACAATAACCTTACAAGAACTATAAGTATTATATAATAAGCACAAATGCAATATTAGAGTGTAAGAATTTGTTAATGCAAATGGGATACACCTTTAAGGTAACAGATGGGTCAGCTGGAGTATGGACATCACAGCTGAGAACTTGCTCCATCACAGGCAATGCTCTGGGTAGTTGTCAGTTTCACAGTCTATGATTAATCTTTCAGGACTTTCACTGTGCCAGCTTCTTATGCAAATGTAGGCTGAAGGGAGATCAGACAAATGGTGCAATCCAGTCTGTGACACACTGTTTGAAAATACAGTGTTTGCAGAGTCCTGATGAGTGTGTGTAAGAGCGAATTCTGAAACACTGGATGCAAGGTTACTTGAGGTTAGAAGTATAAAATACATCACAACAAAGTCCATCAGCCTTTTTTTTTTGTTGTTTTAAAACCAAAGTGAGTGATGAGTGCCCTCTGCTGGTTTATATAGTCAACTACAAGTGCATGCTGTGAGAAATTTACCATGTGCACATAAACCGTTGCAGATATCATCAGCCTGAATACTTGTCATCGATATGCATCAACAGTACTGAATACACAGGAAATGGCAGTACTGGAGCAAAGCATGTTCTTTTTTATTAAGTGTACAAAACAAGTGCAAAAATAGTGATTCATAAGAGCTACACAAAGTAGGAGTTGCCCTTCAAAAATTACAGTCACAGAGGATACAAGTCAAAATGCAATACATGGAAGTGCTGTTCAAAGAGGATAAAAGGGATCAATGGTGCAGTCTTGCGCAGTAGAAAAGATTGCAAAACATGGACTTGGTTTCACAGCATGAGAAGTACTAAGTGCAAGCTGCTGAAACAAATGCCAAAATTCATCAGCATTCTCCCTTTGAAATTATGCACAGTGCAAAAGATTTTACAAGGAAGAACCTCTATAAATGACATTACTCTAATACACTTAATCAAATAGATAACTTTGGCCCATATGCTATTGTAACAATTACTTCCTAGGCTGCGCACACATACACACTTGCACAGAAATGACAGCTTATCTTTTTCATTTACAACTAAGCCAAAGTAAACACCAGACAAATATGTTGAAGAGGCAGAGCTACCGTTAGCAGGTCAGAAAAGTGTTAATATGTTGCTACTGTTAACCTGGGATGCATGCAATGAGAGTACCTAGTTTATCATTCACATCTGAATACTGAGAAACACTGACATGTATAGAAGGGGACATCTAAGTTTTAGGTAACTGTGGAGCTGTGGGAGGAGGCTATACTACCTAAAACTGCAGCCAACAACACCTCAGCAAATAGCCAGGTATTGCAACTCTGGCACTGATATGTGAAACAAGATACTGAACGTTGACAACAACAAGCCTAACTGGACTGAAGGCATCTTGGGTTGTGGTGCAAATCAACAGTAAAAGGCACACAGCTTGTGGATTTAGGGTGGCTATTACTGAATCCCTAAACACTGCACAAACACACAAACCTTGCACAGAGTAAGCCTAAGTTTTAATTCACCAGTCATCCAGGCCACACACCCCCATGTCTGCCATTTACAGTATGCTGCACTTTGGCTTCTTCTTCTTCTCAGGTTCTTTTTTGGTCGGCTCCAGCTCCTTGCGCGTGTAGAAGCTGGAGAAGCAGGCTGGGGCGCAGATGGGCTCTCTGAGGCTGAGCAGCCACCTTCCTTCACCATAATAGGTCAGAGAGCCGAGCTCCATCTCCTCAACCAGCTCCCCCTGCTGGCCTTCCTGCTGCAGGGCTAGGATTTCCAGCAGATCCAGGCCTGTTTGAACTGGCTCGACACCCTCTGCGCACCCCAGAGTAACGTGGGCGCGGCTTCCCAGAGGCAGGGAGGCAGCTGCAGGGACAACAGACGCTGCCTCCTTTTCGGCATCGTCTGGCCACAGCAGAAGCTGCTCCTCAGTGAGGGACACTCTGGCACCGACAGTGCGAGGAGTGACAAAGAGAGCACTCAGTGACAGCTCAAATGTAGAGCCATAGAAATCTTTGACAGTCTAGAAAGCAGAAGAAAAGGGAATATCACAAGATTAATTTTAGTATGATAGGTTGTTACTGAGAAATGTCTATTCAACAATGCAAGAAATAAAATAGACAATACATTTACATGCCTACAAACATACATAGCTATAAACAAACAATTAAATGACATTTTCTTTCTTTTTCGTTTCTTACTGGCTTCAGTGCATATTCTTTGGCACCTTCTGCTTTCCCATAGTTACAGAATTTTGTAGTGCAATGGAGGGTTCCTTTGGCTTCAAAGTACTGCTCCAGATCCACCTCTTTTTCAGCTTTACCAGTGACTGTAAATACAACGCAAGATCAGCTGCATCTTAGTCATGCCAAAGATATGAGAGATTAGTCTTAGATTTGATATTTCTCACTGATGCATTCACCTTTGTAATGAAACAACTTTAAACACACTCACAGTCTATCATGTGTTTCTTGAAGGCCTCCAAGGTGTCCAGCGTTTTAAGGAAGTCCATTGATGTGCACCTAACCTTGTCCTGGACAGAGGAGAGAAGAAACCAGCCAAAGTAAAAAGGAATGGACACTTCCTCGAGTGGACCCTTCATGGCTTCCAGTTGGGCCTCCTCTAGGCCTCGCCTGGTCTTCTTGGTCAGCTGTGCTAGATCACTGCTCCATGCTGTTTGCGGTTCCAGGAAGATGGCAACAAGATGGTGCGCCTCAGCAATCTCCCCCAGGCGGGCCAGCCGATCCTGGGTGTGGTTGGTGTCATCCACCACTATCAGCACAGAGGAAGCTGTTCCTGCGCTGCAGCAGGCCACCACAGCCTCATCCAGAGCCTTGTATCCGTCCGCAGATGATTCTGGATTCTCTGGCTTTACACCATGGTCATCAGCACAGATGACAGAGCAGTGGTCTTTGTAGGCATCAGCTATTGCACGCGCCAAGAAACTTTTGCCGCTTCCTGGAAGGCCTCTGAGAACAAGAAGGGTGCGAGAGGTGCGCAGGGCGTTTTTGGTCTGCTCTCGTTCCAGGAGGGCAAAGGACAGAGAACCAGATGCAGGGACTGTATCTTCTTCCTTTTCAGGTTCAGCATTATTCTGCTCAGATTTAACAACTTCATCATCTGCTGCTGCTGCCGCCTCAGCTCCCTTCAGAGTATCAGACTCAACCGATTTTTCAGGTTCAGCTTCCTTCTTGTCCTCTGCAGGTTTCACATTTTCACCTGAACTGTCCTCCTTTAATGCCACAGCTTCTGTTGGCTTATCAGAGGAAACTTCTGCCACCAAAACCGTGTCCGATGCCGCTGCTTTCTCTGTATCTGCTGGTTTTTCCTCTCCCCCCTCCTTTGTAGGCTCAGCTGCGACATCATTCGCTGCCTCCCCATCTTTGGCAACTTCTTCTGCTCCAGTATCCATGGTATTCTGCAGTTCAGCTTCAGTCTCCACTTGCTCTGACACTTTCTCTTCTTGGGTGGGTGGTTGTGTTTCTACTGGCTGCGGCAGTGTGACTGGTTCAGGTGATGTTTGCTCTTGTAGTTCAGCTTCTGGAACTGATTCTGCCAATTTCTCTGGCTCTGGTACAGGGGCACTCTCTGCCAGAGGCGTTTGCACAGGCAAAGGTTCTGGGTCATTCTCTGGCACAGGCTGCTGTTCAGGCTGACTGTTCTCTGGTTCTGTGTCTAAAGCTGCAACTGGGTCAGAGATCTTTTCAGATGACTCATCTGGTTCTGGTGGAGCCACCGCACCGGGCACTGACTCCGTTTCAGATTTTTCATTGGGCAAGCTGTCGTCAATCTCTATTTCTGTTTTCTCCTCGGACAGTGTCACATTTTCTGTCACAATCAACTCTTCTGTTTCTTTTACGTTTATGATTTCTGTATCATGACCATTTACTGCCAGCTGCTCAGTCTCCTCACCAGCAGCTGGTGGCTTCTCAGGCTCTGTGGATTCCACTGGTGTCTCCAATTTTGACACAACCTCTTTTTCCATTACAGCCTCCTCTTGCTGTGGAGTCTCTGACGCATCTAAAACCTCGCTGCTCTTTTCAGTATCCATGTCTGGCTTACAGTCTGCCTTTATACACCACCATGTACCTTAAATGCATAATTAAAAGAAAGAGAGAAAAGCTTTAATCAGCCCAGTGATGACTGAATTCATAGAACCCTTTCAACATTTTCCCACCCATTATACCTTAAAGAGCACAAAAATAGAGTTGCTCCAACTCTCAGCAAATTACGGCTTGAAAAGTTTGAATACTAGGCCAAGGCTGGAGCAGGGCATGAGTCATGCATCCATTTATTTCGGGTTCATGCATCATATCTCCAAATTAAATCTGACTGAAATGGTTAAAATGGCGAAGGTTACATTTTGGGATTGACAGACTGTCCTACTGAGCAATTTGATAAAATTATTATTTTTTTTCTTTAACTGGCTCAATTGAAGAATATGTACATGTGGCAGCAAACAGTGTGGAAGAAGTGTCAATATGCTTTTTAACCACATGCCCTTCTAGAGGCCAGTTTTATCAGGATTGTGGTCATAATGTCTCATACGGGAAGTTACTCCATAATTTAAGAAAGAGAGTGGTTTTGTTGGGACTGAATCTTTTTTTGGTGCAGTAGGTGGACACAATGTCGCATCTGATTTAATCCAATTGCCCTGAAACAACATTAAGCTTTAATGTTCATTTTTGTTTAGAAGCAGTGTTGTGCCCTTGTGCATATAGGATGGGTGGGGGCAAAATGCTGATACAACTCAATCAATTTTTAATTTCCATTTATGTGTTAAAGAATAAGGCCAGCAGTCCAATGGTAGAGACACGCAAGCATGACTGCAAAAATATGTATTTAGACCTTGTATTGAGAAATTAACATCGGTAAACCTTGCCAGCAAACATAGACAAAGGGTGGTTAAGAAAATGGGGCATAGCAGAAAAGTGTGATTACATCATACTACAGCGACCTCCGCCGTGTGGCAGGATATTTTGCCAAATGTCAGAGTAAGGTATGTTTCTAAATGCTGATTTTACAGATGTGCGAAACCTCGTCGTGTCATGAGACAGAAGGGGAAGCTCTCAACACTCAACCCAATGTAGCAACAAAGACAAACCTGGCCCACACTGAACTCAGTATTTTACCAGCTGGTAAAATGCAACCCGAAACCAAACATGAAAAATTAAGAAATACCAACACTTTCACGTTCATTTAACTTAACCTCTTTCGTTTTATTAGAAAAGGTACAGCAGCAGTAAATGCGCAGTGAGTGAGAGGGTGGTTGTCTTTTTTGTTTAAGGCAAGTTTAACTGAATAGATAATAAATTAACTTAACCAAGAATCAGAAATTTTAAAATAAGATTCGACGGCCGCTGCAAAGTGACCTTAGATATGGTTTTAAACAGAGAAAATCGATAGAGGTTGGACATTACATTTCACTAACTGCACAATGTGGCCAGGCGGGGAGTGGCGTGCACCTAACGCTAGCACGCCAGACAAAAACAATTTAGCCTGGCAGCCAGTTAAATTGGATATAACACCACCAGCTACAGCGCCACGTCTTATCAAGTTGGATGTTTATGAGGCGGAAACAACTCACCGCGTGCTACTGGAACAACTTATTTAGGTAATTTGAGTAAACAAAGATAATGAACGAGTTGTAGCATACAGTATGAGTGGCTATTGTTTGCTAAAATGCCAGCTTACCAGTTGCTGCAGTGAAGCTGTCGGTGGTGCCGCTGACCACGCGTTTCTCTCTGGATACAATGACAAGGCAATCCTTGGCACAGACACGCACCCGCTCCACTCTTCAAGGAGACGGGAAAAAAACGGAAATTCCCGGGAACGCGCAACTGGGCGGGGCCACGGACACGCCCCTGACACCGGAAGGACGCCACTGGGGAAATATAAAATTATACCGCTGCAAAATTTCCCTAAGTCATAAGCTTATATTTATTTAACATTTTAAACTTTATTTGCATTGATTTTTGAAAATATTCATCGAAAAGCATTAAATTATAATTAAAGCCTTACATCCTATTATTTTCTAAATAATTAATAATTAATTTTATATATTTCGTCATTTGTTCTTGTGTATAAACTGAATGTGTATTTGTGTACATGTGTGCTGAACTTTAATAAAGACAAAAAAAATGTCTCTATTTTACATGATTTGCAATTTTTCACGTCAACACACACACACACACACACACACACACACACACACACACACACACACACACACAACAGGTGTGAACCTCAGTCACTTTATATGTGATACCACTCCTATCCCGTAAAGTAGACCTGACAAACCCAAAGTGATAAGACTACTTTGCAAACACACAAGGCAATGTAACAGTGATTTTTTCCAACATTTATGAAGAGTTCAGTTGAGGAAAATAACCAAATTCTTTTAATTGAAAAGTGCACAATTATACATCCATTATCAAGATTTCAGAAAAAGGAGGGTCCCATTAAAAAGCTGAAAATTATCATAAATTGTAATTCTGCTGTCTCTGACCTACACACAAACAAAGCACTCAACATTTGTGTTAACCTTGCAGCAAGCACTCATGCATGCCTGATGATAGATACAGAAGAGGTGTGACGTGGAAGTTCCCCTAAAATTCCCCTACTTTATGTATCAAGTGACTCATTTTCTATATAATAGCTATTGCAGTTTTTCAGAGAACTTTGACAAAAACACAGCTTCACAAATAGATTGTTCATTGTGATTGAAAATATTTAAAGTACTAAAAATAATATAATTCATTCTCCAGAAGTAATCCAACAAAATCAAATAACTTTGGTAAGTCAGACTGTTTATAGAAAGATACTCTTTCTGGTTCCAGTTCCCCAGCTATATTCTAAAAGCGGGGTGAAAGCCAGATCTGGGGCTTTAAAGTAATTCCCCATGTTATTTCCCAATATTTTTACTTCTCAGAGAACAGTATACCTTTGTACAATTTACTGTTGTCTGTAACAAAAGACCATTGCTCCTGATATGACCTTCGTAGCTTGATCATGTATAACCCAACACCACGATCCATTGCCTCGTTTATATTTGTGTTTCATACTGGTGTTCATATTTTAATCTTGAGAAGTTACTACTCAAAACATGCCTGTGTTCATCAAAACCTGTAAGCAGACACTGGGTCTTATTTATAAGCCTGTTTCTTTAAAAAATCTTACTGAAAAAAACAAAGACGTCTCAAATTTAAATACAAACACAAATACATTCAAAATCTTTTCAATACATGTCAGATGACTTTTATAGAACTTGTTTTGATCAGTGATCATTCTCTTTCTTTTATTTCAGGCTGCACTCAGTCTTGACTGGATACATCCTCATTGTGTTAGGTGTTGCTTTGCTGCATCAAGAGCCTGAAATGAAGAATGATAAATGTCAGCCTTTAAAAATATCTTTAAATGGAACTCAGATGATGTGAATGGGAAACAGAGTGGGAACCTTCTGAATAGCATTCATGGCGGAGTCGTCTTTTTGCAGTTTGGCATGGGTTAAGGCTCTCTCAAAGCTGGCGACACTGGATTCAAAGTTTCCAAGGTTCACTGATAATAAACACAGTGGAAATTACTTAAAGGTCAGGTCACTAGTTTGTACAGTTACAACAGCATTAGAATACTAGAAGATGACATGTTACTGTTAATCGAAATTTTCTAATATGAGGTGATAAAATCAGACAAAGAATTACTTTCTGATTGTGCCACCAACACGTTGGCATTTATCTGCCATTTTTCGTCAGCAATTTCATCAGCCGCAGCAACTGAACGGACGCCATAGTCTCGGGCTTCTTTATGGCGATTAAGCTCCAGGTAACACCAACCAATTTCGTGAAACAACCAGGTCTTCTCCAAACCACCACGCACAAGTGGTATCTTCTTTTCCCAGCTGAATTGAGAAGAAAATGAAATAGAGAAGAGGGAGAAGACAATTTAATAAATATAATGTCACCAACAAACTAATCTTCCATAGTAATTTCTCAATGTAAGATAATACTTGTTATGAAAGGTGTGACTAGAAAAGATTACCATCAAAATAGCATTTTTTGCTAAGGATGGCCATGTCGCATATTTCACAAGAGCAGTAGATATTTCGTTATTTACTTACAACTCAATGGCCTGTGTCAACTGTCCAATTTGGGCATATACTCTGCCAATGTTGTCCAGCGCCCTGGACATTGCTTCTGGAAGTTTGCTGTTGATAAGAAAGATTACTGAACATCTGATCTATTGTTGTACTATACTTTGACTCCTCTTGTGTAATTTCTTCAGATTCTCACCACTGTTTAGCCAACTCCAAGTCTTTTTGATGATGGTCTAATGCTTTCTCCATATCTCCCAGGTTGATCAAAGCATTCCCAATGCAACTGTGCAGGCTGCCCAAAACCTTTTTTTTATTTGGTGCATCTTTCTCTGACCATCCCTGCACTGTCTTCATGACCTCTTTTGCCTTCTTGAGATTACTCTCTGCATTTCCGGATGTCAACTCTAAGACAACAAACATAAAGTAAACACTTTTAGGCCAAAAAGAAACGCACAAGGCTACAAGTTCAGCCAGAGTCCTGACTTACCTGCATCGAAGTCATCCAGGCTCTTCAGCAGGGACAGAGCAGGTTCAGAGGGTGCAATGGGACAGAGCTTGCTACATTTTTGTTGCATGAGCTTACGGTCCCTTTCCCGTGCACAGATAGGTTTCTCCTGGTTCCACAACTCAGTGCAATTGTCGAGGTATGTCAGGGAGCTCTGAATGACGTCCTGCAGTTGTTCCCCATTCTTCATCTTGCCTTTTACCAAATCTGCAGATCATTGCGTAACAGTTTTAAATATCAGTTTATTAAAAGTGAACAACATCATTGTATTTAGGATTAAACAAACATATTGAGCAGTACTGAACGGTGGAGAAACTAATAGTTAACATCTGAAGCCACAACGACAGCAAATTTCATTCAATCTCTATTTAATCAGGTATATTCAAATGAAAGATGTAGAGAGACAAAAGTATAGTCAGAAAAGGTTATAGAAATAACATAGTACCTTTGTCTTTCAGAAGGTTTTCTAGATATTTCTTGTCACTGTAAAACTCTCCCAGCAGTTGTTTGATTGTCTTTTCACTCTTGGGGGTCTTCTGGGTCTGCTGTTTTTTTTCCTTCTTCAGATGCTGAATAGCAGTAATTGGCCGTACCCTCTTTACAGGTCAGTCATTCAGAAACATAGTATTGCGCTTCAGATGGGAGGTCAGGGTGAACATTACATATAGAAAACTGTTAAGTCTATGTTAACCCATTGGTTAAAGAAGTGATCCTGGGTGAGACTAAAATACTGTTCAGAAGTTTCATATTTTTTTTGTCTTTACTGTTGCAGTAGAATTGCTTGGTTGCTGTATGCATGCAGTTATCCTTAACAGCTCTGTCTCCAAGCATGCATACTAAATACTTTATTACTGAAGGGCAAGTGAAAGACTTACCTCCTCATCTTTTTGGAGACATGATAAATCTCCCTTAATCTCCAGTTTTACAGATGAAGGGCCTGTAATGATTTAGATTTTAAGCGTAAATTGTGAGAAAGATATTCATATGCTGTCATTATAATTTAAGTCACAAAAATGTGTTAAATTACTTACAACCAACAGAGTTTTCTATGGACTCCTGTGCTTTTTGGATACCCAGTCTGAACTCCTGTATATGTGGACGTAGCTTTTGTCCTGTGTGGTAAAACACCAGTGCGAATTCAAATTCTCCCAAGTAGTATAAAGCCTCTGCCTTCTGGTACAATCCCTAAAAAATCATGATAAAATAAATTGTCATAGGCTTCACTTTTCATAGTTTCTCGTATATTTACAATAGAGTTCTGTCTTGAGGTCTGTGATTTAAATAGTATAAATGCATATATATAATGCATGTATTTCTGTCTAGACGCTGGAACGCACAAACGTAAATATTTCTGCTGACTAATGTGTACCTCGAAAAATGTCACGTCTTCTTTGAGTGAAGCCTCTGCATCTTTTAAAGCGTTTTCAGATTGCCCCATCTTCAGGTAACATTTGGCTCGGCCAACATAGCAGTTCTTATCATCAGGCTTTAAAGTCAGAGCCTAAACAAAGAGCAAAAACAAGGCATTCCGTACCTACATTGAAAAGTTTCACTGACAGCCTTGGACAATGCGTTATCACCACAAGATGATGAGCTTCAGTTAGGACAATGTGCTATGCCTGACGTTGGCTAGGTAACTAGTTTCTTTGTTCTTACCGTTGTGAATCTGTCTATAGCCTTTTTATACTCTCCTTTAAGGTAAAGCCAATCCCCGTCGGCCATTAAAGTGGAGAATACGCTCTGTGGCTTTTGACCATCGTCGCCTCCATCTTTGCCTGACATTTTTTTGTCACGTTAAACTTAATTCACAGACGAACGCTCACAGAAAACTTAACTCCGGAAGGTATCCAAACACACTAACACCTCCGGTATCCTAGCAACCACACCAACAAACTAGAAGGAAGGAAAGTAACGCCATCTACTGGCCGTTTAACGCAGCACAACAAAAATCTGCTTTCAGTATGAATTATACCTTATCATTAAAGGTTGATAATTTTGTTAGAATTGTTAATACTGATACTATTCCAGTAAAATTAAATGAAAAAAACAGTTAAGGGGAAACCCAGAGGAGGCCAACTTTATTGACATGGCTGGTACTTTTCAAGGGTAAAGAGAGGATGGTTTCACCATAAGGGCAAAAACAAGGTAAGCAAAGATGAGGATGCTTTTCTTTTCATCATGAAATGCACCAAGAGAACAAAACACTCATCAGGAAGCAACTAAACATTACAAGGTTTCATCATCACACAAGTGCCTGACTTTCTTAGACGATGGCAAACATATCACAGGTCAATGTTCTATTATCTGTTGCATTGAGTAAAATTAGACAGCTTGCATCACAGTCAAGGAACACAAAGAGCATAATCTGTTTCTGTGCAATACTTCATGCTGATCAAGCAAAACAATTACCTTCCTGAATTTGTGTCAAAGGGACGCTCACAATCGATGTCGCTTTCAAACGTTTACATAATAGAAAAGTGTCCTCATCTTACACCAATGGTTCTATCAGACAGCAAATTTACAATAAATATACATATCAAAATAAAAAAAATGGAAAAAAATCATCAACTATCATCACAAATCAACACTTTACATTCCAGTAAAATGTACAATGCAGCAATCTGTGAATGGCAACATCAAACATAAAACCTGTGACAACAAGAGGTAGGGGGACTTCGCTGGCAACAAAGCCAGCACAGCTGTCTCCACTGCCATCTTTCTAGTGTGCTTCAGCTGTACTTTATGTGTAGGTCTAGGCTCCACGTGTTGTGAATTTTAAAAATGCTCAAATGCTCGTATTGGCTTATGACAAGGAGGCAGTTTTCAGTGTGAATTCGTAGCAGCCAACTCTGTCTGTCTGTCTGTCTGACTGACAGGGGAAGGGGGGGAGGTGCTGATTGCTCAGTGATTTTCTTCAGAAATCATTAAGCAATTTATTAATTTTCATGCAGAGAATACACCGTCAGCAGGAAGTTGAGACGAGCCGGATAATAGCTTGCTCAGTGCTCAGTTGCATCTCAAGAGTTTCCCCAGGATGTCACTTCCTGTATGGATCCCTAAAAGCTCTGATACAATAGCTGCACAATCTCTTTTATCTCAAAAATCCAGAAAATGTTTGGACCATTGTTGCTAGCCATTACTGGCTTTCAAGTTTGTTTCATTCTGGAGGGAAAAAAACCAAATCCAAAACCAGTAACACTATCAACTCAGTCTGAGCTGTCTTGGTGTCCTTGCTATACGGGCGTTAAATCATTTGCTGTATGTGGTCATTGGGTTGCATTCATTCAGTCAATGGCATAGACAAGAATCTGACTTGCAATCAGTCAGTTATTAAATACGGATGGTGGGTCAGGGAGTTGACATTGTTGAAAAGTCCTGATGCAGTAACTGTTTAGGTAGACGAATCCTCCAATTAACCAAACTGGAAGAAGAAATTTCCTGGTCCAGATGCTGAAACAAACGACAAACAAGTCAATAACTGAAATACAAAATCAGAGTATCTTTCCAAAGTGGTTGACAGAAGAGCATCACATCACTTCTCTCAGATTTTTGGATACAAATAGAACATAAATTACCTTCAAAACTAAAACCTCCTGGGCCTCCAAAGAACGCCTTGAAAATGTTGTTGGCATCAAAATCTGGCAGAAATAAATTGCAAGTAAGAATAGTCATCAACACAGAGAACTTTCCAGCCAGGTTGAACCTTCTCACTATAAAATCAATTGCTGCTTTATAATAAAGAAGTGACTCATTGGCTCAGACGCGACTTGTATTTCGATCTGTTCACCCTCGAAACCTCCCACCCCAAGGCTTGCCCAGGTGCTGACCTCCCATGTTCATGCCGTCATCCTCAAGATCCTGGCCACTGTCATAGCGTGACTTCTTCTTTGGGTCTGAAAGCACACTGAAGGCCTCGCCCACTTCCTTGAACTTCTTCTCTTCTTCTTTCTGCACCTCAGGACTAGCTCCGCTGTGACGGTCTGAGGAAAGGTATAGAATAGAAGTGTTATGTTTGTTAATGACACATTAGATGTTTCTTTTCCTGTGTAAAATCACAACGCTTGAAGAAATAAATCACCTGGGTGATGTAAAAGTGCACGTTTGCGGTAAGCTTTCTTGATCTCATCTTCCGTGGCATTCTTATCCACCCCTAGCACTTTGTAGTAATCTTTCCGTTTGCTTTTCTTCAACTCCAGCTGGGCATTTTTCAGGAGGTGCTTGTGTTCTATGGAATAATGGAAAGAAAAGAAGGAACGGATTAATAAACAACAGGAATAAATGTTATTAAAATGGCAGAAGGTAGCAAAACAGTCATAAGCTCCCAGTGCATAATGTTTAAGCACCATGAATTAGAAAAATGAAAAGGAATGCTGGAGTCAGATTCTCACCTTTTGTCTTCTCTGTCTGGTAAACCTTCTCATAGTCTCGCACTGCCTCTTCATACTGCTCTGTGTCCATGTAGCTGCAACACAGTATGCACAAGTCTGTCATTGTTTCTTTAACAAATTTGAATAATAGAATAAAAGTGTAATTGATGATAATGACACTGTCTTCTGTTTGTCCTGGTGTGTAATAGAGTTAGCAAATAATAGAGATAGCAAGAGCTACTTGCTATCTCTATTAACAACAGAGTTAGAAATATTAGAAGTACCACTGTGCTCTCCGTAAATAGGCCTTGATGTAGGTCTCATCCAGTTTAATGGCCTTTGTGCAGTCTTCAATGGCCTGTTCTAGTTTCTTCAGCTTTCAAAGAAAAAGAAAAAAAGTATGACCATGCAAAGCAGACACAGAAACGTAGTGGCCTTGATTTGACAGAAGAAAATACAACAAAGGAAATATACCAAAAAACTTTATACTGTCATAGGAACAGAATGAGAACTCACTCAGAAACTAACTGAATGAGGGCTTGCGTGTGTGCGTGTGTGTGTGTGATGCATGCCAATTACATTACTGTAAGCCTGGAACAAGCTTATCATTCTAGACTTATCAAAAATATCTCAGTCCAGTGCACTGTAGGAGTCACAGTTTAGAGTTTTGTGTGTTTGTGGTTGTGTTCTTACCTTTATCTAAACAGACACAAGTCCTACTCTGTCCTTATCTGCTACTTTGTGTTTAGTCAGAGCTGTTTGTGTCCATATCTCGTTTGCAATCTTTACTGATATGGTGTCAAACATATCCAGCTTTATGTGGCAAACGGCCACACAGTCAGTAATTAAGTAGGTTTTTATGTTAATCCTGTGCTGATGACTATAAAATTTCTTTCTTACATGACCAAAATATAAAAGTGTGCATTATCTTCTCGAGTGTTGTGTTTGAAATGACTAAAACCGAGGATGAGAGGATTCTCCCATAATGAAAAACAACTCGTCAGATGTCCAAACAACAAGTGGTATCTCTCTTGTGCATGTGTCTCACCTTAGATCCAACAGTGGCCCTATTACAGTACAGCTTGGCATTAGTCTTGATGTTGTTGGGGTCTATTGTTAGTGCCTCAGAGTACAGCTCATAGGCTGCCTCAAAGTTTCCCTCCTTGAACGCCTTGTTCCCCTCCTCCTTCTTGGCTTTTAGTGCTTTGGCATTCTGGGAAAACAAACACATAGGACAATCTTAAAAATCTACTCTGGCCCATCTTTGCGGTAATAGAAGTCAATCTGACTTAAGATGGATAAAAGAAGTACTGAAATATGTTTTCTTAGGCAATTTTCCTCAGTTAATTCATAGGGAAAATGGTTTAACTGGTTCACAAAACTCTTCTCTTCTGAATAACTCACTCTGCATGCAAGCCGAGCTTTGTCATGGTCAGGAGCCATACGCAGGGCCTGAACAAAGAACTGGACAGCCTTGTCAATGCAGTCCTCATAGTAGAGACAAAGACCACGCACATACAGTGCGTCTGCATTAGTGGAGTCCATTCGCAGAATATCACTAAATGGAAGCAAAAAAAAAATCAATATTAATGTTAGAAGAAAACATACATACTAAAAAAAAAAGAGAAATCACACCAAAAATATGGCATTCTGTGTCATCATCTGTAATAGTTTAGTTCACATCAAACTACAGCAAACTGTGGAATCTATATTTCCCTGCAGTGATGACACATTGCCAAGGATGCAGTGGTGTGGCAACTGAAATGTAAATGTGGTAACAGACATGTGCATAACGGAAAGAGGGCACCATCCAAAGTTATTAGTTGCTTGCTTTAAACTGTGAGAATGACTGTGCCCACCTCTCTGAAAACAAAGCCAGAATCACACAGTTCCTGAGGGCACTACCCAGAGAATTGTTATTTTCAAGTCAAATTAACACAGTGGAATGATTGTAAGGCTGTGCCATTTGTACAGTCTTGTGATTGCAAATTTGAGGTCAAGTGTATACTTCTTACACCCATGTGCCAAAACTAAAATAACTCTTAAGAAACATAAAAACACAAAGTGGTGCATGTCGTTTTTAGAACCATCATGTGTTGAGGCCCGTGGATTTCTGTAATCGTGCATACTCGCAATCATCAAAGATGAGTCAGATCAATAAATCACAGTAAACCTGGTGCATTTAATAAGATTATGGCTCTATAGAGTTGTCTGACTTTCCGGATGTGTACATTTTACATAACTTCTTTCAAATCACATCTCACTCTTTTCCCATTTCTACAGAGCTCTGTGATATAGGATTACTCATTTGTTGTATCTAACTGATAAACATGTCTCTAATATGATCATAATGAATGCTGTATAGATGTATTGGTGTGACATGGTGTGGCACATGCACAACCCTGTGTCTTATTCTGCTTTCACCTTGCGATCATTGTGACAAATTTCAATACTGTTCAATAAAGGCAGGAATTGACAAGTAATTTTTAAATATGCATTGTTACCTGGCAACAGACTGAGCCTCTGGGTAGCGTCCCAGCAGGGCTAAGCACTCTGCCTTCAGTATCTTGAACCTGTGACAGGCTGAGGCTGACTCCAAGGCCCGGTCCATGCAAAAGACGACCTAGAAACAACCAAGGAATATCCGCAGTCTGTGTTGCTTGACATACTATAGCATATAAATCCCAAAATGAAGTAACACTGTAATCACTGAGTAGCTTACCATCCTGAAGTCTCGCTTGTCAAATCCAATCTCTGCCATTCTCTCATATTCAAGGATAGATTCTGCATTCTTCAGCTGCCAAAAGAATTTGTGGTATTCAGTGACAAAGAAAAAGACCTCTAGTAGATAGTTGACTTCATTGCTGTGCAGCCACTACTGGTCTCTCTTTTGTGCCATGCTTAGTGATTGTAAAATCAGGTCAATGTTAGCAGCAGTGGCTCTCTGAATAACCTCAAACTTGTATCCTGGCTTGCTCATTGGGAATTGACAGTAACTCTAGCTGATATCCTCTTAAACCGCTCAGTATCAGACTTTTGCACTTTATTTGCACTGGCTAGGCAAAGCTTATCTGACAGTGGATAATCACATCCAAATTGCCAGATCATGCTGAGGCCAACTCACCTCCTGCTGTGCCTGGCTGCTATCTGGCTCCAGCTCCAGAACCCTCTGGAAGCAGCGACTGGCAGCCATAGCATTGCCAAGGGACAGGTGGCACTTGCCCTCTCGCAGATGGCCCTGTGGGTAAAATACTTACAGTTCACAAACTCAACATTCCTCAATTCCCACCCTTGCTAAAATCAGTTGGGTGAACAAGAACAAAAATAAAACCATGACTAGTTACAACTTACGCCTTTGTTTTTTGACACATCTTTTAAGACTTGTGACCTATTATACACAGATACACATAAGGTTTGTGTGATTGATTTATTGATTGATCAATATTATAGAGATGTGCTACAGCTTATGACTTGAAGAGCAACATATCACTATGTACAAAAATGTATGCATGGATAAAACTGGTTACACAACAGCTGCAAAGCTCTGCAATGTAGAAAACAACTACACTCAAAGTTGTGCCAAACTTCTCTAAAGCTCAAGTTAAAGTTCCTAAGTAGATGCTGTTGTAAAGGTGTCACTAACAGAAAATATCTAGCAATGCAAGACAAAAAATGAATGGATTTCCCATTTAATAGAATGTAAGGGCTTGTTTCCCCACAGCCTACCTTCATGAAGGTGTTATCTAGTCGTACTGCTTGCTGGGAATCCTCTAAAGCCTCTCTATACCGGCACAACATCATTAATGTGGCTGCCCGGTTTCCATAGTAACTTGCGTTCTTTGGACACATATCTGTATAAAAAAACAAGTTGGTTGACACCACACCAAAGTCACACTGACTTCATGCTATTGTGGCCTATCCAATACAAGAAGTCAACATTATTTCCAAACATAAAGAAGACTAACGAGAATTATTTAGGAATAATTACCTATGGCCTTGGTGTAATAATTGAATGCTTCTGCATAATCCTTCTTGATATAAAATGCATTGCCTTGCTCCTTGAAGCCCTCCGCTTCCCTGTGTAATAGTGAGCAGGAAGACAGAAAAAGGTTAAACGCAAATTGAACACAGAAGTCTGAGATGAGTAGCTCTGAGAATAGATCACGAATATACTGTATGTAGTTGTTAACTGGCTGGGTTGGCTTTACACTTCATTATTCACATTGTAAGACCGTTATGTCTGAGCATCACATTCATAATCACCTATATGTCCATGATTATTTATGACAGTGTGCATTTGAGATGTCACTGGCCTGAGTTAGCTAAACATAGTAAGAGCCAAACCAGCAGGGCAGAAGTGTCTACACCAATCATACACGTAGCTATTTTGTGAAGCAGACAGGCAGAGCAGAGCCAGGAACATATGACACCATGCTGTGGGCCACTGCCATTACTTTTTTTGGAAGCCTTTCATGTTTTACATCACGACCACACAGTGAGTGAATGGTGTCATTAACTAGTTATCCAGCCAGCACCATTCTGGGAATATTGCAATGACGTGAACGCGGTACTCTCAGCACGATCAACTTTTACAGTCGACAGGTATCGGCAGATTTTCACATATGACAGTGTCTCCGGCTGCAACCCAGAAATCCAGCACAGGAGCTAGCAACCAATCCGAACGTTATCCTGTGCCAAATTTAGCTAAACAGTTAGCGGCGGAGCGCTAGTAAACGACGAGAAAATTAACATGGCATGGACTTGTGACGGCGCATATCAGTAAAAGACTTCGTTGTAGATGTAATTCTGCCGCTGACAACATAAACTTCATGTGTCGTACCTTTCTAATTCTTCGTCGCTGAGCAGGTCCATGTCAGGGTCCATGTTCACAGCATCACAGTTCTCCGTCGCCATTTTGCCGTCAATGGGGAGGGGCGGGGCCACATTACTGCAGTCGTTACGTACACTGTAAACAGGAAGTAGCCCGCTAGGTAAGGAAAGTGGCTAGTTTGTATTTAAACATTTGTGTCATAACTAACACATATATTCCAAATGTTCGCCAATATCAGTTTTAATATGTGAATACACGAGTTTTAGTCGGGTCAGCTAGTTTCAAATAACATTAGCTGCTTAATATCGTGTATCTCTCCGAAAGCTAATGCTAAGCTATTCGTAGATGTCATATACATTGTTGACTCTAACGATGTTAGCATACTGAGCTAGCTGACGTTTCACTTTGTAATATATATGACTAATCATTTTATATGTTTGCTGGCAAGCTATTTATTAGTTCTATGATAGTGAATGTGTCTAACAGAATAAACAGAAGCAACCTAGCTTCCCAAATAGCGTGTACTCTAATGCTATGCTATACAGTTACACTGTTATAAAGTAATTGACTCAACATTTTTCTATCTCTTCAGATTTTCTGACCTGAGGGACAGTCATGGGTAAGAGCTGTAAAGTGGTTGTGTGTGGCCAAGGTGCAGTAGGTAAAACGGCTGTTTTGGAGCAGCTACTGTATGCCAACCATGTTGCAGGTATAACTTTTTATAACAATATTGTGTTACATGTTGTACACTCATTATTTCAGATAACACGATCAGTATTTTCCACGAGTCAAATGAATAAAAAAGCATAGCAGTGGGCATACAACACGTCTAGGCTTTGCTCACAGTTGCTTGGATCCATAGTTCATACAATAATTGATTGTCAATAGTTTTCTATGGTATTAGTGGCATTACATGTTTAAATATGCATTGTATCCAAATGTTACAGTCAAGGCAATAACAGTACATAATACACTTGATCATGAATGTGTAAACCAGAAGGTTATAAACAAATTAAACTTTTTTTTTTATGCAGTGTGTTTTTTATGCAATTGAATCATCATCAAGTTTCAGAAACACCACTTATAAAAATTGAAAAAAGTGTTATCTGAGATATTTCTATCTAGGTCCTGAAACAGCCTGTCAAAATGCTGCTATGCTTTCAGTCAGGCACTTCTGGGAACAGCTTATACTCACTATGAACAGATGATAGCATCAGTAACAACATTGGGGCGATGAACAGCATGTGATAAGAGCTTAGAAAAATAAAATACCATGACTGTGTAATTTCAGGTTTGGCGGATTAATATTATACTTATTGCTACATTCCAGTTTAAGGTTTACAAGGATGCAAACATTAATTGGCATTTACTTAACCATTACTGACATGTACTGCATGTTTACATTTTTCTGCTGACAAACTGTCATACAAAGTGTCTTGATATTTGTTTCAAGTAAGGGAATGTAAAAATGCTCAGTCACTTTGTGTTAATTACACAAGCAATTGCATTAATACTTGTGCAGTATATCACACCAAATGAAACACGGTTGTCTTTGTGTATTCACAGGTTCGGAGCCCATGGAGACCCTGGAGGATATCTATATTGGCTCCATAGAGACTGACCGTGGCACACGAGAGCAGGTGCGCTTCTATGACACCCGTGGACTCCGGGATGGGATGGAGTTCCCTCGACATTACTACACTTTTGCAGATGGCTTTGTACTTGTTTATAGCATTGACAGTAAAGAGTCCTTTAAGCGAATGGAGGCACTCAAGAAGGACATAGACCGTCATAGAGACAAGAAAGAGGTAAGGACTCACCACATTTATATGTTTAGTGAGCCGCAACATTTTAGAAGGAACCAATTTAGAGACACCAAAGCAATTCGGTCAGCTGTTTTTTTTTCGATTACAATTTCTTAATAAACGTCCTATAAATGTTATCAGTGAGTGGATATAAATGTCAATAAGTGACATATAATACATAACTGAGCAAAACATCCTGCTTCAAAATACACAATGTCTTAATGCATAACACTGTTACAGTAAATATCAGCTTGTGAGTCACTGTTGTAATCTTGCTTTTGAGGTCAGGTTACATCAGGTTAACAATAATAGACAAATAGGTAACAGGTTAACAATAGCAGATTTTATAAATTCATGACACTACATATTTGAGATTTTCTGGGTCTGACACAGGTGTCTAGCAATTAAAGGCAACAATTGTGTTTACCTTAAATTAAATATAGACATTTAGTGATCTTCCCTACGCACTGGAATGAGATGTAAGTTATTCATTTGAATGTTGTTTCCTTCCATAGGTAAAACTATAGCAGAAATACAGCAGATTTAGTGGGGGGCATTGATGTTGATGGTACTAAAGATTACACTGATGTCGATCCAACCTGATGATCCTGATCCACAGGTGACCATTGTTGTGCTGGGTAACAAGCTAGACAGGCAGGACGAAAGGAGAGTCGACTCGAACCTGGCCCAGAACTGGGCGAAGAACGAGAAGGTTCGTCTGTGGGAGGTGTCGGTGGTGGACCGGCGCACACTCATTGAGCCCTTTGTGTACCTGGCCAGTAAAATGACCCAGCCACAGAGCAAGTCCACCTTCCCTCTCAGTCGCAACAAGAATAAGGGCAGTGGTTCTACAGACAGTTAAATGACCAAACACTGTTGTCACATTCAAGAGGGAGTGAAAAGGGAGAAGAGGTGTGTTAAAAGGGAACCCTGTTTTACTAAAGGATCAATTTTGTTATCATGAAGGACTGAGGTCGTAAAAGTTGGTTTTGAGAATCTGGAGAAGTGATGAGAGGAAAGGCAGGATGATTGTATGGATATTTATATACAGTGAGCACTGTTGGTATTGACATAGCATCTGCAGTATATTTGATGTTTTGGTGAAATACTTATTATGACTGAAAGTGGTGATTTCTTGATTTTATTTTGACATATCAGTTAAGATCATCAAAGCATGCAAAGTTTTTTTGTTTGTCACTCCCACTTTATTGGGTTGGACTATGGTCAAACTGTTTATCCACATTCTTTACAATTACATCTGTTGTCGTTGGTCCTACATAATATAATTCTCAGACTACTGACGATCAGCATTTCATTTTGGTGTATACTCAAACAGTCCAGAGTTTTAAGATAGATTCATAGTGCTCACTGTATAGATAAATTAGCACATGCACACATGTACACGTACTACTATTATATGTACATGTACACACAGAACAAATCAGAAATGGCAGCAGTTTCAAATGTTACATAAATTTCACATCACACAAATGCTGAATCTCACATGTTCTTTAAGTTATGATGGGTGAAGAGATTTACTGATATATTATTGATGGTGTACAGTAATTGTGCTGTTTGCTGGACTGGAGATTTGTTACACTGTATGTATGCAGAGATTCACTGTTGGATTTTGTAGAGTGAATGACTGACATTCCTTACCACATATGGCCTTCTGTACAGGCTTTAAATATGAGATAAAAGACGTTCAGATGAAAGGCGGTTTCTGCAGGCTCAGGTGCTACTTTTTTTCTGCTTGCTACACTTAAAAGAAACTTGGGGCACAATATATATAGTAAAATGTTGTATCATCAACAACACAGCTCACATTATCAGTTACAGTCACTGCTGAAGTTGGAGCTGGTCTATTCATACTGAGCTGTACAATGAAACCCATAAGAACACATTAGACATTCACTGACCTGATCATCCAGGGTGCAACTCAAGATCAAACGTGCAGCTTTTAATATATGTTTTATTGAAAAGGGGAAATCTCTTGATATTGTCTTGAATATTCATGTGTTTGAGTCTATCAACTCAACTTATCATTCAACTTTTTTGTGAATATCTAGCATTCAAGTTTTAATATCCTTAAAATGTGTTCACTTGATATTTGTTTGCATGTTTTGTAAACAAATTAAAGGATTTTTTTTCCAGTGCCTGACCAGGGTGGTTTTCAGTGTAATGTCTGTTGTAGTTTGTTTCATGGCCAGTAGATGTCTCTGCAAAACACTGGATGTTGTCATGAAATCAGTTACTATTACTGGAGGCTGTTGTGAACTATCTACTTTTAAGGGAAATATTGATATGCATCCACTTCAGAAACGTTGGGTTCTCTGCACTAGACTGTAACCAATCTCTGGCTACACTGGAGGTTGAATCCGTTTCTTGTAAACTGCTCCTGACAAAAGCCTCTGCCAAATGATTCTAATGAACTCATTGTCATTTGGACATTTGTTTGAATTCTGAGCACATGGGTGTCACATGTGACAGTTATATACTTATTGATTCATACCAGTTTAAGAATAAAAATTGAGATCAGGAGGCAAATGAAATTGTCAAGTGTCACGCAATAAACCCTCTTCAGTGTATTTGATGATTTTTGATGCAAACAAAAAGCAACACACACAAAAGTGAAATATTCATGACAAACATAATGAGGAAAAATGTCCCATGTGCCAGTGACTCACTGGTTAGTGGAAATTCTATGTTGACTGATCTTCTCTTTTTTTTTTTTTTTACCCCGAAACTGACACCAAAACCCCAATGCAACCTTCAGGTACCTGCGATTGTCTGTGCACTGCTGCTCTTTCAGAATTCTGCTGCGTATCATTTCTGCAAATCGAGAAAACTGGTTGAAAACAATATCCTTCAGCTGAACAGCAAGAAAACTGAGGTACTCATATTTGGTCCCTCTAACTCCAGAAGCCTCCGCACAAGTAAGCTAGACCACCTCAAACCATATGTGAAGTCTCATGCAAATAACCTGGGTGTTATTCTTGATTCTGAGCTCTGCCTAGATAAGCACATCACTTCTGTTGTCCAAAACAGTTTCTATCAGCTAAGAACCATTTCCAAAATTAAACCGATTTTGTCCTTCCATGATATGGAGGACAAAATTGACTGGGCTTTTGTAATTCTTTGTTTTTAGGCCCTCCCCAGTCATCATTATCTCGCTCGCAGTTGGTCCAGAATGGAGCCGCAGGGATGTTCATTGGCTCTAAGAAGAATGAACACATCACCCCAGTCTTAGCCTCTCTCCACTGGCTCCCTATTCACTTTAGAATTCAGTTTAAGACCATGCTGATTACCTGATACCTTACCCTTTAATGTCCAAGCCCCACCTTACATCTCAGACCCTATTCATCGGCACTCAGCTCCTGGATCTCTCAGATCTGAAAGCTCCTCCCTCCTGTATGTTCCGTGATCACGACCGAAACTGAAAGGTGACAGAGCCTTTGCAGTTGCTGCTTCAAAATTAGGGAACCAGCTGCCATTAGATATCAGATGTGCTCCCTCCATCTCTATTTTTAAATCTAAGCTAAAGAGACATTTTTATTCACAGGCCTTTTTAGCTTACTAACCTTGTAGTCTGTTGTGTCATAGTAAATTCTCACTAAAATAAACTATGCATTATAAATATACTAAATGTTAAACTTATATAATCCAATGGAATAGCTATACTCACAACTGAAGTAGGATTGTTATAAAATGGAACCTAGTGAATGAGGATAAAAAATGGTCTGAAGGACCCTGGGAGCAATGGTGTTGGAGTAGCAGCCGTAGCGAGGCCCAGCTTGAGGATAGACGAGAGCCTTAGGTCTATGGTAGAGGGGAGGCTTTTGGATTCCTGGCCCTACTACGATGCCTTGGCACAGGAGTCTTTTTTCCTCCAACAGCTGTCATGTTCATAATTGGTATATTAGCTCCTTATAATTTTCTTGTTTTTGTCAGTATGTTTACATGTTCTGTATACAGTATGTTTACTATGCTTTACTTGCGTTCTACTTATTCTATACATTTGATTTACTTGCTTTTATGTATTTTCATTGTCATTTGTTTAGAACTTTGGTCAGCTCAAGCTCTGTTTAAATGTGCTCTAGAAATAGAGTTGACTTGACTTGAAAATTGTACCAAGTTATAGGAACATTAATTAGTTTGGCAGTCAATACCTGTTGAAAAGTCACATTGATTAATTGTTGTACAAGCTTAAACCAGTTTGGGAGTATAGTGAAAACAACCAGCCAGACGAGGTCAGAGATGTTTGAGCGGAGGAAAGGATCTGCTGGTTCCACGCAGGCGTGCTGACTGGAGAGGTTAATTTAAGATAATGAGAAAACCTCAAGTGGAACATTTATGAAATGATATTATGTTCACCTTAGTTTCCCCAGAGGGTGCTATCATGTACTATCACATTTCAATCATGTTCTTTTTAATGACTAGGATTGAGCTAGTGCACCGATGTTACTTCACTCAAGATGGTTCAGTTATTATATCATACATTTGGGCTATGACAGTACACAGTGATGTTAATTTGATGTCCCCAAGGTAAAACAGTGAGGGAGAGACTCCTGCATGTTGTCAGTACATTCTCCTGTCAAAGCTTTCTGTTCGGTGCCTCCATGTCTGTATTGACCTCCATAAAAAACAGAAAAAGAAGATTTACAATACAAAATAAAATGAAATACATGGGGGGGTCAATTTGTCACTTGCCTGTGTGATTTATGAACCTCCCTCTTCCTTTAGACTACACTGACCACAAAAGAGAAATTTCTACTTGCTTGTGACATTCACAGGGCAACAAGGCGACACCCTTGCGTTGCCACCAGTAATACTCTTTTACTGTTGCATGACAGCGTGTCTCATGACTGCAGCTGAGCATCCAGCTCTCCCGGGGGGGCATAAAATAAATAACAGTTTATCCCCCCCTTGTTTTTTTTATTTTATTTTTTGTGTGAGGAGAAAATAGACTTCAACCCTGGAAGCTGCTGCAGTGACCCTCCTTCCACAGTCCCCCATCATGAAGCGCCGGATTAACAAAACAATTCCACACAGCAGTGAACACATGCAGTTTAAATGGCAGTGCCACCTTTATTCTTTCTGCTATCAGGCCTTTTTTCCCCTGTGGGGTGGAAATATCAGCTGCCCTCAAGCCATCAGTTATGTCAAATGTTGGCTGTCATGCTGGCTGCCCACGAGTGTCTGAGACAGATCATTTGTCCTGGAAGCACAGGGTGATCTCATCTGGGATAAGTCAAGCTTAAAGCATTCTCAACTGTGCAAAAATGGGATCCTATAGTTGTTGCTCAGAGTTTGTACATTCAGCGAGTATGCTGAAGGAGTTTGACACTGCTGACATTATCCCGGGGGACATGTTGACACGTTGTCTCCCACCAGTCGAAAAGAAAGACAATCCAAGCTCGATGAACGGTTAAATAAAGATACAGTGGAAGCAGAGGAACAAATTAATGTCTCATTCTGTCACCAGTTTTGTGCCTTTTTTTTCCTTTAATTTTGTCCCGCAACAGTGCAACAACATGGATGTCTCTTTATTTAACAGTAATTACCCAGCACTGTCTTTGTGATGTTATCATTAACAGCCAGTAACAAGTACATCTTTAATAATTCTGCCATAAATATTTATACAAAGGCTAATTAACTGTGGTTAGGACCAAAAATAATGATAAGTAGTGACTAGTGACTATGGTATAATGTAATAGGTTTAATAATTAAGTTGTATTTGCTAGATAATTGCAGTGTAGGCATCGGTTACAAATAAATGACCCACCGTCTGTAAGAATAACCAGACTACATAAAAAGAGTTATGAAAAAGTTGTATATATTTGGTTTACATATGCTGACGCTTTATTATTTGGTAGCAATATATGTAGTTTACACAGTTTAGAATAGGCTCCGATGTGCTTTCAGATTTGGTACGATATGTTTTAATGCACTAATTAAAACTATTAGCATGTTAAGTCAAGATGAACTGTATAATAACATTCTACTAACACATTATTCCCACAGAGTCACACTCCACACTATTTAAGACTCTTTTCTTTTTTCATGAAACATGTATCATGTATGTTTGGTAATAGTATGAAGTAACACATTACAGGAGGAAGTTACCTTTTTAATGGCCACAATTACAGCATATTTACATGGAAAATACTGCACAATTACTTATAAGTACATTGTTTACTGTTGTGCATTTGCCATTAATTTCTTTTATGTACCAAATAACAAATACATCATTATTTAGTAGTTAATTACTGCACATAGCACTTTTCTACTATGCCTTATTTATTTCAAGGTAATTAGTGTTGAGACACATACATTTACCTTGACCTTTCTACTAATTGTCCCATATCTTAAATATGTAAAATAAAGTGCTACTGGGGTTAATTTGATCAAATATAGGCTATTTCTTTCTATCAGCCACTGTGTTACATTATTAGTCATGACAGTGGACAGTTGAAAAACTGGCCATGTCAGTTCCTGTAGTGTTTTTTGTCTCTATGTCACAGGGTGTCATGGCGGCCTCATGTTGTTCAGGACCCTTACTGCACACCATGGTCCCAGGTTTGACTCACCCTCTCCCCGTCCTGTCCCATCTTTGTTGCACGCCTTTGATTAATGGTACAAATTCATAAAGGCCTATGCTTGTGTACACACGCATGCACGCACACGCACATACACACAAACACACACACACATACACACACACACACACACACACACACACACACGCGCACAAACACACACTCGCGCACAAACATACATCTACACTGAAGCCTTGTTTGTAAAAGTCGTGACTCTTGAGTGAAGGAGCGTTGGCTGACCACCGCAGCAGGAGATAAGGGTGTCACTCCCTCCACGGAGAACATATAAGATAAGATAATGGAGCAGTACACCAGTGTCGCAGCTTAGCAAGGTCATCATGTCCTCCTACTGTATCACCGGCTTTAGGAAGTGCTGAGGATCCAATGGCTTTCCTTTGATTGGCACCACAGGAGGTGCCGTGCTTATCTACACGTTTCCACAAAGGAGAGGCTGGTGCTTGGCCTGAGGCGTAGAGGACAACATCAGTGTGTAATCCAAGGGCTCTCCTTCAAATAAAGAGGAAGACTGGAAAATTAATACAGAGCTAACTGAGCTAAGTACACGGTGATCTGGTGTGATAGATGAAAGCACAGAGTCACAGTTTATCACATACGAAGAGTCCAGGGACAGATGTGTTGAGGTTGGCTTTGGGGATGACGGGAACCACAGTACAGAGACAGGCAACCACACTGCGTCATGTTGGCAAACACACAGCAGATGTTGAGAAACAGTGAGATAGTGTTCCACACTCCAGGAGGATTCACTGTTCAATAACAAATCTTCCCGCTGTAGCCGGAGCCAATCCAGAACACAATGTATTGTAGCGGCCATCTGTGGAGAATCATCTGAAGATAAAGGAGATTAGCTTGTCTGTAAACCACATCAGCCACTCAGGTATATTATTCTATCGCTCCTCTGTGCGCAACAGATGTAAGAGAGCTCAGACGTGGTAGCTTTAACTTGTTTCCATTTGCTTTCACCATTGTATCTGCGGGTTAACACCAGCCCTGCTGTCACAAGTTGTTCCCTGAAATGGCGGGAAAATGAGCGGCTGTGATGTTGGCACATGAACAGATGCTGTGAGGGTGTCGCTGAGAAGCCTGCCTACCTGCACCTGCACACTCAGGATTATGTACTGTTGTATGATTGAACTGTACCGAACATAATTCAAGAACGAGGGCAACGTTGAGCATCTTCGTGAATCTGAGCACTCGTGTTGTCACTGTTTATTCATTAGCAATCATCTGCCTGAGTTATCTGTCATTTTCTTTCCTCACGCAGCCACCCACATATTGTTATTGCTCAAATATCAGTCTGAATCAAAGCACTGCCTTCTGGGATGCTGCTGTTTTCCTGTTGTACCCACGATGCACACTCACACACACATTAAAACCATTTTTTTTTTTTTTTTTACAAGTTCTAAAAGCTTTATTTTCCAAAACCATCCCTTGTCCTCTCTAATGTACAGCACTGTAAGTCTTTTTGTTTGTTTTTTTGTCAATCCATCCATGCATACAGTGTTTCCTGCTCTCTAGAGATATGGAGGGATACCCTGAATGGATGGTCATGTTAGCATTTGCTCAACCTGTTACCCCTGAGAAGGCCTGGCTAATGTGACTTTAGGATATCTTCTAAAAAAGGCCTTGAATAACTTTATTAATTCAGACACCGTCAACAAGGAAAGAGAGAAAAAAAAAAAGCTCACTCATAAAATTTTGTTTTAAATATTTTCTCTTGTACTTTAAAAAAACATATTGGTAAAACCATGTAAATAAACAAAGAAATGAGGAAAAAAAAAAAAGAAGAAAGAAAGCAAAGCATTTTTCCTTTCCCTGTATGCTGTACAGAGCCTACAATAACATTATCTACTCTCTTCTATGATAGCAGTTCTTTGTGATACAGATAACAATAGCAACTCTGATAAAATCTCTATAGTTACTCTATGATTTCTACATATAATTTGCCTTCTCTAGATTCTTATTTTAAGAAAAGTTTCAGTTCTTTAGGTCAGAGTTCCCAATGAGCGATAGAAACAAACAAACAGTGAAGATTAAAGGCTGGCTGGTTCACTGAGTTGTGCGACTGGGGAGGATCACATCGGTATGGCGGGGAAACCCGGTGGCTTCGATTACCCACAAAGACTTGGGGTTCCTTAAACAGAAATGTACATAGGATCAAAGGTCTTGTAGGAGCACTAGTACTGGATGGCAATTACAGGGTTTTCACGACAGATGGCACTGCTGCATCACAGACAACTATACATATTGCACAATGAGAAATGCATAGGATTTGCTCCATTACTGTAATTTAAGAGAACATGATTTGGCATGATTGTTGAAGGAAGGATGACGTGTGCGTTCCAAGGCCTTATGAGACCTTGCCAGCAGTCTGTTTTGGCAGAGGGAGGATTGAGTGTCAGTAGATATCCTGGGTGGGAGGGTGGTGGTGGTGGGGGGGGTGGGCGGGGGGGGGGGGGGGCGTGGGTGAGACAGCACTCGAGCATGAACAGCAATATGACAGTTGATGTTGCACTTATTGTGACACTTATCCCAAACAACTTGTCTCTGACGTAACATTGTTTTGCTCAGTGGAAGTCATACAAAAGTTCTCCTGCTCGGCTAAAAAGCGGAACAGCAATGTCATACGGCGCTGAAGCACCCTCTCGCCGCAGCGCGAGAGCAGCTATAAATGGAACGGCTCAGCCCAGAGTGAAAACATGTGAAGACTGACCATGAGCATCAAGCACCAAGGGCAGCACCCGTCAGAACAACTCATCCTTTGTTGGCCCTTGGCTGTTTGAGTACATAATACATCGTTACAGGTGTGTACAGTATAGAATAGATAAAGCCATTGACACACTGAAAACACATCATAAACATAAACATACCGAATGTATTGCTTTAAATGTGAGATTTGTCTAAGTTATGGATGAACCATAAAATGATCATTCTCACCTGATTGTTTTTTTTTTTTGTTCCAAAGCAAAATTCTCACCGACATTAGACATGGGATTGTATAAACACACAACTAGAGCAAAAAAAAAAAGGTGAATATCAACACAATTTTCATTGCTTTTGTAAGTAAATCAGTTTTAAGGTGCTCTTAATGTGGTTGCCATGGCACTGTTCTTTGTTCCCTCCTACGTTGTATGCAGACACTGCAACAGGATGTCAATCAAGTACCGGCTGAGCAGCCTCCCCACCTACTGTCACCCAAACTTTTCACTGAGCTCTGAAATCCCATCAGGTCTTCAAGTTATCCGTTGTGTTTTCATCATGTGTGCAATTATGTGTGTGTGTGTCGGGGGGAGGCTTTCCCTGCTCCTCATCATCTCATGCAGAGATAACGCCAGAGAGAAACAAGGAGCAACAGCGAGGTGATGACAGCGGGGTGAAGGAGGAATTAGGAATAGACAAAGAGCAGAGTCACAAGGGGAAAGAAATGATGGCATTTTGCAATGTAAGACGTCTGTAGCTGCAAAAATGTTTTTATGCAGCTAGCTTGGCGAGAACATGATGTTCAAGCTGCATTGCGTGAATGATGCACTGGACCAAAAAAAGAAAAAAAGAGACAGATTTACAAATTGAAACAAAGTCAAGTTGACAAGCTGACCTTTTCTGGACCTTAATGAGTGTTTAATCCTGGGGATATGGGAAAGGAAAAAAATAAAATCTGGAGGACTCTGACTATGGCTGTGACTCAGAAAGAAAGAGAGGAGGAAATGTTTTTAAGGGCTTGGGGAAACAGTTTTAGGGAGAGGGCTGGAGATGCAAAATGATGCTAATGAGGTTTTAGCATATGGAGTTATAGATCCACATGAAGGGGTATTTGTTTAGAGAGTTGTTTGATAATAGCCATGTCCAAGATGCAGAGTGACAGCATTAAGTTTGCTAGAAAACACAGATCAACGGGACTGGCTTGCCCAGTCATACAGGAGTACACCTCAGTTTCAGCTGTTTTAATGACCTACTGTATGATCATCCCGTCTTTCATAAAACCCCAAAACCAATAAGTTAAAAACATTTTAAAAGAGCATCAAGTAAAGGGACCTTATTTTGTGGCAACCACACTAAACATACATCTAGACTTGTCTATATTTGTTCTCTAATAAATTACACAATAATATCCATAATCCAAACCATGTTGACCCATGAAATGGCTATAAAAGCGGCCTCTGTGCACCAGTCACTGTCTGGAGGCCTGTCCTGCTCCGTAGGTCATGATAAGAGGAGCAGAAAGAAGGCATGATAGGGGATCTTGGCCTTTGTGATAGGAACAGCTCTCAGGCCTCGTGGCCGTCTGAGCGTCAGGACTTGTGCACTGGTTCCATCGTAAGTCAGGCGGGCTGCATAGTTTGCGTGTGGCCTCTGTCATGTGGGTCACACCTAAAGTTGGGCCTGGGGTTTGGTAAGGGGACAGGGGAGGAGCTCAAATGGGAAGTGGGTTAAGTCTTTAGTAGGGGGAGAAGATGATGGGTGTGTGTGTGGCCCTCAGTGGCCCCGGGGCAGGCCGAAACAGTGCAGGGCCCAGGAAGGGGGTCTGGATGAAGGTGGTGGTGCCCACTGGGTGGCGCAGGGCCAGCGGGTTAGTCGCCACTGTGCACAGAGTTGGCGGGGTGAGGGGGCTGGGCAGGAAGCCAGTTGTCAAGCTCTTGGTCAGCTGCTTCTGCAAGGCCAGTTTGGTCTGGAGAAGACAGGAGGGGTGGGGGGCGGCGGTGAGAAGTGAGAGAAGAACACGGTGAGGGCATAGCATGTTTAGTTGGGCAAACATGTTTCCCAAAGTCACGGCACTTGTTTGCACACACAGCTGCAGCAGAGGAAAACATGTTCCCACTAAATACCAGACAGAACTGGATTCCTGATAGCTCGTTGCATCATCACTCCTCAGACATATATACTGCATGTATATATATACATAATGGGCTAATGCTAGGACTACAGTATGGACACACTTCAGCCTATTCCATTAAGGACAAGGGTTAATGACAGACATTTCATTTAAAACTCTGTGGAGTTAAAAGGATAGTTCAGATTTTTTTTAAGGTGGAATGCTTTACTCACTGGTCATCATACTGATGCATGGACAGATGCACAGCTAAGATGAGACTTGCTGAGATCTCATCAAGCTTCCAAAAACCTTTGACAAAAAACATTTTAAACCATAACACAGCTCCTTTTTTTTTTTTTTTTTTTTAAATCAACACTCACTCCTTGTAGGCTTTAAAGTTGGGTTTAAAAAATATTTAGCCGTTGTAAGCTTGGAAGCAATGGTGGAAACACTTTCTCAACAGAATTGCTAAATACGTATCACAAACACTGTAACACTTTTTTTTTTATCAGTGTCTTAATAGTAGAACTATATTTGAATCCAGCGTAACAGCGGTGAATTGAAGCTGACTACAGCTGCTGTAGGTTGGTATTTGATGCATTAAAGATGCAGACCTCTCTCTATCATGGAAATAATTACTTTCATGATACAAAGAGGTCTGAATGGAGACTGAAACCTCGCAAATGGATGATTAAAACGTTCTTCGAGGGCTGTGTCTTTCCACACACCTCTCCAAAGGACGAACAGACGACGCTAATGTCATTTCTTTGTTTCTGCAATATGCTCAATCTTACTGAATACAGAAACACAAGATTCTCCAGAATCATTTAACAATCATGTGAATTCTTTATCATAACCACTAGTTTGAATTATTTCAACTTTGTGTATGAGTAATCATGTCTGTTAGTTTGGTACAGATGAGTCTCAATATTACTGTATCTATGAGCTTCGGATGCTGTTGCTATGGAGAAGAAGATGCACCTGGTCTGCACCTTAGTAGTGTACCTCTCATCCGATATTTTTATGTTCACAGGCTTGTACCTTCGATTTTCTTTCAAAGAACCAGATATTTTCTGACATAGGTGCAAATATTTTCTACTGGTGATTTAACCTGGAAGAGTTTCTTGCTCATCAAAGCCACAGAAATGTTCCACCCGTAAGTCATGTAACATTGTACATGGGAAAAATGAATAGGATTTTTCCTGAAATAGCATCTCCCACTTCACAACTGTATTCACATTAACACCGGCGAGTAAAGTGAATAGCACCTCATGTAAAAAAAAAACAAACAAACAAACAAACAAACAAAAAAAAAAAATCAGAACTATCCCTTTAACATAAACATGACTTCATCATTATCTCTGCTCAGTCCCCTGCCCCTGGCCAGGCCTAAAGTCCAGCCAGCTGAAGCTCTCGCCCTCCAATCCAACCCCAGTCTCGGCCTCTCCTGCCACTGACCTGCGAGGAGAGGGAGGTGAGGTTGTACTGGCTGAACGCTTTCTTCATGGCAGACACAGCCACGCCTGCATAGCCACTCCATCTCACGCACTGTAGGATGGAGGAGGAGGAGGAGGAGGAGGAGTATGGGGAGGAGGAGAGATGGGGAGGTGTGTATATGACAGGAGCAGAGAAGTGATTAATCTGGAGTGCTGATTCAGGCTGCTGTTGTCAGAGCTGGTCAGTGGGGGAGAGCAGGACTATTTTAGACCTGTCTCATGGGTAGGGGACTCACTGAGTACAACAGTGTGCTTAACCTCTCTGACAGTACAGGCACACGAGCATGCTGCCTTGCCGAGACATAGAAGCCCCTAAGCACAATGTAATGAGATCACTGTGTGTGTGTGTGTGTGCGTGTGTGTGTCTGTCTGTCGGGGCTGGGGTCAAATCAGTTAACTGTAACAAAGATAAATTAAAACAAGTGTTTAAAAATGGATTATTTTACGAGCTACATCGAATTTATTCCAGTCTTGGCACATGTGCGCAGCATGTTCAAGCATATCTGTGCTAAGAGAAAGGCAATTATGTTTTGTTTGTGTGTGTGTGTATGGGTGCATATTTGCATGACAGTGTTTTGTTTGTCTGTGTCTTTATGCTGAGACTTACCGCTAAGCTGGAGCTTGGCTGGCTCTTGCTGTGGGGGGTAAATTTGGGTTTGGGTGGTTTTCCGGCCAGCCTGTCCTTGTGCCTTCTGCTATTCATGTGCTGCAGAGACCAGCAGAAATACCATTAGCGAGCTAACAAGCATCTGTTGTACCACAGTGGAACAACTTCAAGTGTTATCTGCTGAATTAATAATGGATACACATTGATTATGACTGAAGTGCACTGAAATTACATCACATCACTTTCTACCACCGCCACAGTATCTCCCTCCTCTCTGGCTGCATTGCTAACAGGCTTACATCCTCCTGGGATAGGGGATGTTTATATGAGACCGGTGGAATGCATTTAAGGCTACAGCAGCCTGGGCGCTCACACATGCCAACATATCCTGTATCTTTTCCACATTCTCCTCCAGCCGGGGCGAAGTTTCCAAGACAATCCTTTCACTCAGATGTAGCGTTTAATGAACATCAAAAGGAGAGAAATTACTTCACCAACCTGGTTTGATGCCAATGAAACCAGAAAATTAAATATACGAGGCATTAGTAGCTTGCAATAATGAGTGGCAAATAAATCCCTGCTCAGTGAGGAGCTTTTCAGTTAGTTATAGCATCAGATGATATCTGTCTAATGTGGAAAAATAGCTGCTGCTTGAATGTGCTCTGCACTCACAACCTGCTTTTCAGTGGCTTCATTCATGTGGCTGTAAATGAAACTGCTGCTTTGATTTAAGCACTCGCGCATTTCCTCCATCAAGGTGATGTTCAAATGGGCTCTTGGATTAAGTAAGGTCTTTCAAATCCCAGCATTGATGTTTATCATTTTAATACACATCATCTGTGCAGGTCAGCCTGGTCTTTATTCGATGTGTTGTATCAGTGTCCTGATGTGTAAGGTAATTACTAACAATGCGCAGGTAGTACTGCTTTCTGATTCAATCTGTGGCCACACTGATATAATACAGTCTGCTACCCATTTTACCTGGCTCAGCTGGGTCTCAGAGTTCACAAAGATCTCACACACTTCACACTGGAAGTTCTTGCTGGGAACCCCGACGCTGCCTTTGCTGCCCAGCCGCTTGCTCTTGCACCCAGCACGAGCTGCCACCACTTTCCCTCTGCGTCGTGGCAGAACACTGTGACCTTCCAGCATCAGTTTGTGCTTTGTACCTGGCGGCGAGAGAGCAAAGAGTTGACAGATGTGTGCTCTGCATCTATTTGATGCTCAGATTCCCAACATTTTCAGCCAACTATTGGCTAACTACTAGTCAATTACAAATGCAGAAGCCTTTTTAAAAAGCCCTTTACCGCTGTTATGTGCTTCCAGTTGGGAGACTGAGTTCACTGTCACTTTACAAACAGGACAATGGAGGTGAGCCTTGCTCTTCTTGGGCTCCTTGTCCTCATCTGTATGTGGCTCTCCATTTGTGCTGGACGTGTCTGCATGGCTGCCTGACTCAGTATTCAGGCCCGCGGCCTCGGCGGCCTCGGCGGCCTCTGGGGCTTCGGGGGCGCTGGTGTCTGAGGCAGTTTCAGAGAGCTGTGAGGAAGGCGAAATCTGAGGGGGGGAGAGGGTGACCAACTCGACAGAGGAAACCTCTGATACTGGCGTCAGCATAACTGAGCTCCTGGGACTCTCCTCGAGCTTCGCCTCCAGGTTGGCTGGTTCTAAATCAGTTTGAAGACCTGCATAAAACAGTAGCAACACAGGAGAGCATCAGCAAACTGTGGTTCATTCAACTTACTTTTTACTTACAACTTATTTATTTTTATTTTATTTTTTTAGTAATGTGTTTATTAGTAATGTGTTTAAGGGATTAGAATTTGAAATTACTAAAGTAAAATTACGACAGTAAAGTCACTTTGATCATTCGGAGGGTAGAAATGTTCCCTGTCTTAATGGGAGATGACAGAGGTTTCAGTTTGGTCTCTGCATGTTCAGCGGGCAGACTGGTCTGTGCCAGCTTGGTGCAGGGGCTGGAGATGTTAGAGAAATGCCACACCTGATAACTCTAAGATGTCATGTTATTGGCTGGCTTCCTAATGCGAGAGACAGGTCTGCTTACATTCAAGAATCAGCTGGTTTGGTTTAGCGTTGGAGGCTGTGAGAAGCCTTTAGCGTCACTGTGAGGACGGGACATCTGGACTGCTACTGTCACCAAGGCTACAGTCACTCTTAATAGTAAATACTTCCAAACTGTAGGCTACTATTTCTACATATGTTCATTACAGACTATGTGACAGTAGGTGTGGAGGCCTCACAATTAAAAGGCACCTGTGCTGAGTTACCACGGTGATATAACAAGTTATGTAACTAATTACTTTTTATGCCACAGCACTGTCCCATTCTCATGAACGCGATGTCTCGGCAACGCCTTGACAGAACTTCTTCAAATTTGGCACATTCATTCATTAGGACTCAAGGATATACTAATTAGATTTTGGTGGTCAAAGGTCAAAGGTCACTGACCTCACAAAACACAGTTTTGGCCTCGTGAATGTAATACCTAAAGATCACCTTAAGGAAATTTGTTTAGATTTGGCACAAACGTTCACTTGGACTCAAAGATGAACTGATTAGATTTTGGTGGACAAAGGTCAAAGGTCAAGGTCACGGTTATGTCACGTTCTTGCGAATGTGATAAATCAAGAACGCCCAGAGCACACTGTGACCTCACAAAACATGTTTATGGCCATAACTCACAAATTCATTCACTAATTATGACACAATTTAACTCAAATGTCTATAAGGATAAAATTAAGTGATGACATTTTATATCCAAATGGTCAAAGGTCAACTTCACTGTGACATCATAATGTTCTGCTAAAACATGTCGGGCCATTATTCGATGCTGTAACTCAGGAAGGAGAGATTGTGACCATATGTCCTGCTACTTGGCTGGTTGGCGGAGGGATACAACCATGAGGTGTAATTCTAGTTTGTTGAGTAATTAGTAAAATACATAATTACATTGTATTTGATTACACTGTCCAATATGTATTTGAAGATTTTCTCATCACAGTTAAAATAACGCCAACAAAGCATGAAAACACAATGAGCCTAAATAAATAGCGAGAAAAATCCCCATGCATGCTTAATCAGCAAAATACTTTACAGATTGACTTTTTTTGCAAATATTAAATCTGCCAAATTAATTTTCAAATAGCCATTTGTCTTTCAGTACAACATTGGAGGCAACATTAAGAGTGCTCTTCGAGTGCTGGCTCTCTCACTATTCAAATATCAAGTGGACCCGGAGTCTCAGTCAATATAAACAAACCCATCGACTGCCGGGCCACGCCAATAAGTCACTAGAGTTCTATTACCCACCTCCCCTTCACCCCACTGCCCTCCCGAGGGAGACACACACTTCGCCCCAGAGCACAGCACGCTACGCTCGCTGAATATAGTACGCTTTCTCCCCGCACACACACTTGCAACCCCTCTCAATGCAACTGTGCTTCATTGATTTTCTCTTTTACGTCTCAGAGTAAATTCATCATTGGAGATAAGGGTCTTCCTCTCTCATTCCCACTCAAGAGAAAGAACCTATATAGAAGCTAGATTAGACAGTCCCCCTCGCTGTAATGAGAGTGACCCCTGAGGAATTTGCGCTCCTCTGTAAGGGGGGCAGGGGGGGTGGGGGGGTATGATCCTGAGCTTATGTGAAAGATACGGCCACCTGAGAAGTCTCCAGAGGGGAGTGATACTGATCAATGGATTTAGCAGGAACCTTACAGAGGAAGACATGGAGGCTGGTGGGAATCAAAGCTCTCTGAAAATCCAAAAGCTCGGATCATGAAGGAGCTCATTCAGCAAAGAATCATTTCACACATCCCTGCTGGGTTTCAGGTATCCTCATTTTTAAAAAGCCCAAACTTTATCCACCAAAGAATTTAAAAAAAAAATGTAGATTTATGGAAGCCCATTGATGCCAGTCACATTTTTTTTTAAAGTGAAATGAAATGAGTAAATGAAAAGATAGAAAAAGTTAGTCTTGATAAAACATTTTGACTCTTTATCCAACAATTTTGACTGTCTATCTTATACTTTGGACTTTTTGCTTTATAATTCTAATTTTGATTTAATCAGTTAACATTTTTGTGTTTTTATCCCATAATTTTGAAATGTTTTTATTTTTATCATAACTATTTCTATCTTCTTTTTTGTTTCTTGGCTTAAATGGGCTTTTATAGATACTGGCTTCTTGGATGTGAGGATTTGCTACATTTCTCTTTTTGTATAGTATTGTTAATTAAAAATAATCTTTGGGTTAGGGATTGTTGTTCGCATAAAACCATCAGTTTCAAGATGACACGTCTGAGAAACTGTGAGGGGCAGTATTTCAGGTATTTTACAAACTGAAAAGATGAATCTACTAATTGTGAGAAATATAACACACAGATTGACTGAAAATGGAAATAATTGTTAGCTGGAGCCCTGATAGGAAGCTGTGAAAAGAGCTGTTTTTGTAGCAGACAAAGGGTGAAACTGATGAAACACTTTGATAAATATCAAGACTCTTCCAACCTCCTCTCGAAGCAAATGCCTGTCTGCCCATTCGTCAGCCGTCTCATTTGCCCTCTGACCATCAACAAGATAACAGAGACTTCCAGCAACATTGGCAAACTGCCAGAGCAAAGGCCAGCATATTGGCAGTGCCAGCAGGGCCTCTGTGGAGTTACATAGCAGCAAATTATGGACATTTGGATCAATGTTAGGCAGGCAGTCATCAGTTTTATTTAACCCAAAAAGAATTTAATCCATGTTTTAACAGTCCAATCAAGTCTGACAGTCTTTTGGAGTGTAAACACATCTGCAGAGATCTCTGTTCAGCAGATTGATCCACTGAGAACTCTAACCACAGCCAAGCAGCAAATACATATGAATATTTGACTCATTATGCATATGCTCACACACACAAACACACACACACACACACACACACACACACACACACACAAACACACACACACACACACACATAGCACTCAGTTTAGCGGGCGAGCGATGAACCAAGGCAGCCTCAGAACATAAACAACTTCCACAGGGAAAAATCCTTGCTTTAAATCATTATTACAGTGATGACAGACAGAGTCACCGCGAAGACCTGTTTCAACAGCCGAGTCAATCAAAGCCGAGCTTGACTGATGCTTGTCACGACTGATGCGGACCCTCTGTCTCTGGGCACTGGCCTGCTGCTCTCCAACTAGCTCACTCACTGTCTGCCCACTCCCTCCTTTGCTGTCTGGGACATGGTTTTTAATCATCGATCCCCCCCCCCCCTTTGAAGGATTGAAAATGTCGTCTCTGCTTTTCCCTGTCTCCCTCCTGTATGTATGAATTGTTGTGGTGCCCTAAATGACAGAATGTCAGTAGAAAGTAAGAGATGTTGGAAAGTCTCACTGTGATGTGATAGAACTTTTTTGTGTAACAAGGGAAACTTGTTGGTAGTTTGAAGCAGTGAAACTAACAAATGTAGGACATCCTCATTGGTGTAGAGGTTCGGTTTATACTTGGGCAGCTTAAGGTCCTGCATTGGTGTCTTGTGCTGTCAACAAGTATTTCAAATTACTTCTAAATATGCTGCTCGTCAGTGCCCTGCAAAACGTTAAATGGAGGACATCAAGCGCTTTCCGACCTTTCACCACCACGGTTCAGGAACAAAAAAACTACTTTGTTAAGCTTGGGAAAACATCATGGTTTGAGTTACAATTACTACTTCATTAAGGTTGGTGGTTACAATAATAACCACTTGGTTAAAGTTATGGTCATGGTTAGAACTAACCAACATGGACTGTCGGTGGGATTTGGTAAACAAACAGTATATCATAGCTGGACGTTCTGTTCATGCCAGCCTCCTCCCATCTGCAGACATTGAGGTTCTATAGGAACAAGAACATCACTCTACTTTCTCTTTTGCTCCCAGTGGACAAGAGCAATTATTATTCCTTCGGCTGCTGGAGGCCTGTGTCACTGAGCATGAACAAAAGTCGTTTTTGGGGCATTTGATGAATGATCTTGTTTTTCATAGCCAGTAGTTCCCAACCTTTTCCAACTCATGGCCAACTTGAAAATCTCAAAAATGTTGACGCCTCACATCCAACCCCGTAACAACACAGAGGCCAAATAATACATTCTCACAGCACTTTTTATTTTAATGATCAACAGTGATGTGCCACTTCACACTTAAAAGAAACTAGCTCAAAGTTCAGTTCATACAGATGAAAATGAGCTAGATCACCTTCATTTGTTCCGTTTTTGTTTTTTGTTTTTTTAAATAAATAGGCTGCTTTTCTTTTTAAATAGAACCTTCTTCTACCCATCCATCACCAGCCCCAAATAATTGCCACTCCCAAACTAAATGAATTATTGTATATACCACTGAAGAATCACACACGAGTTACATTTAAAACCGCCATGCTGGGCCGTGTCTATGGAGACGTCATGCGGCGTGCCGTAAAACTGTGGTAAAACGTGAGCGGCCGTTCACGATTATCATTTGGAAACTGATTCATTCAGTTCAGCATTTCCAAAAAAACATGCACATCACTGACGATCGCACAGTCAGGACTGAACTGAAAGCAGGCGAGGCTCAGTTTTTCTTTTTTGTTTGACAAGAGAGATCACTTTCTCGTGTCAGCATCTGTCAGCACCGCAGAGTGGTCAGTGTCAACATAAAAGTTCCTATCATGGGTTTTTCCTATCATTTTTAATGTTTTCAAAGATCATTTCATTTTAAAACATTTAAAAACATTATTTATATACATGTTTATATATATGTATATTTTCAAGAATTATACCTTTTCACCAAAATTGTACTGTTTTGCAAATGATTTGTTGCAATACCTTCACGGCCCACAGGTTGGGAACCACAGGTTGGGAACCACTGGTGTAGAGGCTGTACCGGTGCTTTAAGGTCCTGTGTTTGTGTCTTGCCCTGTCATATTGCTATTTAATTCAAATAAGTGTTTTGCTATTAATCTTAATTATGTTGTGACAAGGCCTGAATCTTAATTACTTCGTCCATCCCACCGTGGCTCTGGACCACATGTATTCGGAAAGCAATTTGTGACTCATCGTTTCTTCTTGTGTGTTTGTGCACCTAAAGTGCACTTGAGGTCCAGCACCTCCCAGCCAAAAAGAAGTGGTACGTGCATGGCAGCGGCTCCCTGCGTCCGAGTGTGCATCGGCAGGTATCCTCATGGAGCCGAGCGGGCTGACCTTTGTGACTGCAGAGGAATCTGTTTATTCCGAGCCCCGCAGACTGCTCGGAGGAACAGCCGACAGGTGTGTTATTGGTTCCTGGTGGCGGACAATGTGGGCATTACCCTCAGGCGGCTTCCCACCAGCTTTCAGTTTCATGGCAGACATAACTCATTTCATAGAGTGTTAATTTGGAGCTCTATTCCATTACAGGTTGGCATTGTGGTGCATGGCTCGCACTGCTGCATTTCAATTTCACATTAGGCCAATCACACAATTGGGCTTATTAAAGAGTGTTCCTCCTCACAAAATTGCCTTGGAACTGTAAAATTATTCACAGCATAAAAACTAGCTATGACTTATCTACTTTCTCTGTCCACTGACCCCCCCCCCCCGTTCTTATTCCTCCCTCTCTCTCTCTGTCTCCTTCATTCATTTCATCTTATCTTTCATTTTCCACTCATCATCTCATTTCGTCTCTGCTGCTTCCCTCTTTCAGAGCTCCCCTTTGCAACGCCGGAATATTAAAATGAGGTTTGATGAGAGCGTTATCAGGCTTCCAGTCTTTTGTCCACTTTCTCCTTTCTGAAGGAGACTCTTAGTGCTCAAGGCAAAAAAAGTGTGCATATGTGTGTGTGTGTGTGTGTGTATGTGCGTGTGTGCCCATGTGCACACGAGCACATCTACGAGAGGGGATGAAGTACAAACCGTCTCCCTCCTCCCTCCAGAACCTTATCTCTTCTCTGATATTTCATCTAGCATCCAAGAGCATTTTGAAATTCTGCTCAGATAGGGATCTTCTCTGGGGCAGGGGGAAGTGGAAGGGAGGAGGAAGTAGGACAGTATAAGAGAGAGAGGGGGGGGGGGGGTTTTACCACTCCTCCACTCCCATCACCTTGGATGGATGAATGAAAAGCGTGGTTCCAGATGAGTGCAACATGAGAAGGTAATGGGCTCACTCTGCAGTCAAAATGGCATCGGAGCAATTCATGCTCTCTGAGCCACGTTTTGTGGAAAAGTCGTCGTCCATATTGTGTTGAAAGAAAACCAATGCTCTCCTCTTTCTTTATCAAAGGTTCAAATGTCTGTATTTACACCATAAACATTTGAACTTTTTGCAAAAGGAGATGAGTGCCTTTGATTTCTTTCAACTTTATTTCCTTTTTGACAGCCTCTTAAATGAAAACTCTCATCATCATTTCGCTCCCTCTCAACTCAACCGCTACTGTGTGTCATGCATTTCATTGCTGCACAAATACGCCGATTCTGGTTCCACAGCCGTCCTCTCTATCAAACCAAGACAGATAGGAGAGAGCAGGAGGGAGCAAGGAAGAGTCAAGCAGTGGAAATTAAGAGACAAAGGGGGTAAAAACGACCCCAGTGAGGCTCAGATCGATCTCAGCCAGCCCCTTTATTTACACAGCATCTCTTGCTTCCAGACATCCCACAATCCCACAGCTTTGGAGACCTCTATCAATCACAAGGCACATGGACAGAGAGCCAGGTCAAAAGGGTTTTGCAAGGGGGTGGGGGTGGGGGGGGGGGGTGGGGGGTTGAAATTGCTGAGGGTTGAATGCACAGAAAGACAGAGGGGACAGGAGGATAAGAGGGTAAAGGATAAGGTGCACAGAAGTTGTGATCTCAAAGTGTAGCAAACTGAAGCAGAGGGAAGGAGATAAGGGAGGCCAAGACATGGAGGAGGAGGATGGAAGCAGTCAATGATGTGAGAGCAGGACTGGTGGAGGGGATTTGGAAAGATGAAATGGAGTGGAAGGGGGAATTAGAGGAACCAAAGCATGATAGAGTGATGATCAAGAAGGTGGAGAGAGGCGGAGAAGGATCGGTTACAAATAGCCTTCTCTTTGCTGTTGTTTTCTTCCCATCACTCTGTCTGTTTACGTACTTGTTCCCTCCACTAAGCTCGTATCCATGAGCGCGGGAAGAGCCGCCTCAGACGTCGATGTCTTGCTCCTGTCCCGCTCCCGTTCCCGTTCCCGCTCTCTGTCTCGGTCCCTCTCCCTCCCCGTGGATGAGGCCTCCCCCGCTCTCCGCTGCCTGTTCTTCTGGGCCTCCATGGCTTTGAGTTTCCGGGCGTGCTTGTGGCCCTTATAGTGGGCTTCTGCTTGGTTCTGCAGAGAGAAATGAGAGAAAACCAGGTTGGGGAGGGACAAGCAGAAAGGACTCAGTGCGTTATCTGCTGGAAAGACGGGAGAGCACGTGCAATAAATGTTTAAGTGCACGCCTGAATATTCGCTCTCTTGCAGGCATACACAGGCTGCAAGGAGGAGAGTCTGTTTCCACCTGATAACAGCGCTGGCACATTGGGAGGCCAGAGGTATAATTGCATGTGTAATATGTAACAAGAGAGAGGATCCCATCTCCACAACTACCCTATTAATGTGCACCGTGAGAGTCAGCCTCTGCAAATCCTAGACACATGTGGCAATACATACTAATAACACACACGTTTGAGCACTCACGAGCACACAAACCCAACAAACACAAATCAGACTCCTGACCGAGTGCGACGGCAGCAATAAACACACTAAGATCCCTCCAGGCGGATCACGATTTACCTTCACATTTTCATCATTCTCACGGCCCGTGGAACAAAGCTCCTGATGTCAGAGCAAGCGTGGATACATAGGAATAGTAGAGAAATCAATACGGAGATTACTCATTAAAACAACAAAAAAAAACTGGGATCATCTGCTCCAGGCCTGAACAGGACAAAGTTATAGAAGGAGGAAGTACACATTACGGAAAGATTTAATGAAAAAAAAACATTATTAAATGAAATTTTTTGTGTCAAATTAAGTGTGGAAAGCTGATTAGATGTCCCCCAAAAACACACAAATTGTAGGAACATAACCTCAATATTTAAGAGATGGATGGATTAAGTATAAAAAAAAAAGCCTTTGACATGTGGAGCAGGTGCAGCCGTTCCTCCAAGACTGCCACGCTTCTTTCCCGAGCTGTCGTCCAGTTTTACTTCCTCGAGAAATAAATCATGCAAATCCTCAGACACCAAACAGCTTCAGTAAAGAGACCGGACTTTTGCTTTGAAGGGCTCCTGAGTGAGGAATAAATACATGCCGAAATGACTAAGAGACTGGCAAACACTAAAAGACTTTTACATTAGGAGGAGTGGAGCGCGGATCGCTCTTATTAACCCGGCATCAACAAAACATTAAGTCCCATAAGCAATGAAAAAGATTACTGCTTGTGCTGCATTAGCACAAGGTTATAGGCGAAAAAACACACACACACACACACACACACACACACACACACACACACACACACACACACACACACACACACACACACACACACACACACCACCAGTCTCATGTGTTAGCTCTATGTAAACATCAGCATTCTGGGTATGGTGTTAAACACATACACTCCCACTGGTGTGATATATATAAATAACGGGGCTGTCAAAGCGTCTGTAAAAAAAAAAAAAACTTGAATACTTTGTGACTGATCTGCCATGAAAAAGCTTCAGAGATTAGTGTGATGTGACAAATTCAGCCAGTGCCTTCTCCACCACCAGTCTCTCCATCCAATTGAGTCTCAGAGCAGGCAGAGGGACAAGGTGTGAAATGAGCTTTGGTTTTCACATCACCACCCCTGCCAGCAGGACTACAGGGAGATACGCTGCTCTTTTAGGGGGATTCTTGATTGTCCGGTGATTAAGCAATCCCCAGGCTGAAAGTAAACACCGGACTATATCTGGTGCAGAGACATATGTTCAGTGGGTGTGGAACGTGTTCAGCTCAAAATGGTGCTGAATCCTGTCTCCAAATAACGACTCGCTTGTAGCAAAAATAATAACAAAGGCATAAAATAAAGTGGCTATGCCCGCTGCTTTGCTTAATTTAACAATCAGTGTGAGCTGCCTCTGTGGAGGCTGATGAATAGAACTGTACAGTTTCCCCTCAAGTCAAAGATACACCGGATGGATGTGAAAAATACAGCTTTTTACCAAATTTGCAGGTCACAGTTGTTTCTGTGATTTTTTTTTTTTTTTTGGCTGCACTGTGCTATAAATACACACGTTATGATGTTCCATTAGGATATTATGGCACTGTAAAGCTTGTTATAGGGTGAGCAAGAGCAAATAAAACGATAATAAATGACACATTTATTCCAACCCTCTCACTTACTGTTCTCCTTTAACTATCTTAGGATATTCTAACACCACTGGACCTGGATTACTGATACTAATACACTGAGAATACAAACTAATGCATTTAATCAGTAACTGCATCTGTTTCATAGTCAAGTTGCAACAACAATTACCTCCTATACAACAAGTGCATGAATATTAAAGGGCTACGAAGTGATCTAAGAGCTCTGACGACCTCTATGGGAAACCAGAAGCCACTGACAAAACCCCTCCCACCTCCTCAACTGGTGACAAAACTAACAACAAAATAAGAAATACAAGAGCACTGATTTTAATAGTGTGTCAAATCACTTGCTATATTTCCCTTTTTGGGTCATTTCAGCTTCAGAGCAGAGAGGCCCACGTGTTCCTCTTGTGAGACATTAAAGGAATAGTTTGGAATTTTTAGAAAATACGCTTATTTGCTTTCTGGCTGAGAGTTAGATGAGAAAATCAATACCACGCTCACGTCTGTGCGGTCAGTATAAAGCTACCTCCTGCAGCCAGTTGGCTTAGCTCAGCATAAAGACTGGAAACTGAAGGAAACAGCTAGTTTGGCACTGTCCAAAACAGTGATGTCACACTGCACCGACACACCCTGGAGTGCCCTTCTACATCACTGCAGCCAGGCGACAAATTGAACCACTGCAGGTCACAGAAAAACAAAATTCGCTCTTTAAGGTCAATTTGCGCTATACTGAGCGGCGGGGAAAGCTTACACATTTCCCATCTCAGCATTATGCATAAGGATGACTTGGTATAATATCTGAGCAAACTCTAAGGAAGGCGCGTGGAAGTGTTAGGAATGTATTCATGCTCTAAGAGAGACAGATAAAGCTGACACTCCTCTGTAAGTCAGTGTGTGGAGGCAGGGAATGGGATTTGTTCTGGTGTGTGAAGAGCACGTCTGCGGCCCCTCTCCCCCCTCAGCTCCCTGTCTCCTGTGCCTCAGCCCTCCTTTGAAAATGGAGTCCAAAAAATAAAAAGTAATGTGTGTGTTTGTGTGTGTGTGTGTGTGTGTGTGTGTGTGTGTGTTTAGCCATACCCAGACCTGACATGTCTTAGGGCTTTATGGACTATTATCTATTTGTTTATGTCAATATGCATAAAATGTCATGGGATGTTTGCCCGTGTGTCTTTGTGTGAGTGTGTGTATGTGCTCTCTAGTGTACATGTTTGCATGAGTACAGTATGCATGCATTTGTGTGTGTGTGTGTGTGTGTGTGTGTGTGTGTGTGGTGGCAAGGATGGGAGAAATGAACAAGAAGCCGAGAATGCTGCTTCCTGCTGGGGCTGCTGATTGTTTCTGCTCTTTGCTGATAAACGGCAGCTCTCCCCGCTGTCTAATCCCTCTCACACCAAAACAACAGAGACACACACACACATATACACACACACACACACACAGATTTCATTGAAGGAAAAACTGGACAAACTTTTATATACACTTAACTACAAAAACTCTGAATGACTAACTTTTGATTTGAAAATACACAAATCTGCATAAAGGGAAACACCTTTTTCCTTTGCATACACAGACTAATATACACACACGCGGGTGTATACACGCATACAAAACATAAACACAAACACAATGAGTCGGTGAGGCTGATAATAGCTGAGGTAATTGTGGACCATATTTTCTAAAATCAACATTGAAGAAGATAGCAGACGCACGAATAAAGAGACGCTGTTCTCTGAGGCTAGACTCACATTTTGGTATAGATTGCTTTTATATTGTAAATTACACAGTCTGGCGTGCCGTCTCTTTCTCTCCCTTAATGTCCCACAACTTCAGCGTCTATCTCATGAAAACCACAGCATAAAACAGCTGAAGCATTTCTTACCGTTGAGTTAAAGCGCAGGTGGCAAATGTTGCAGGAGATAATCTGTTTCTTCTTGAGGGGCTGGGGGACACCAAATGTGTGGTTGATCACTGCCTTCTGGACAGGGTCCATCTGAGAGACAGAAAGGAAAAGACCAGTACAAACAACATTAGGTCTATATATGATTTTATTTTCCCAAATGAGAAATTTCTGTGCAGCACAACAACTTATTCCCCTGCAATCTAAGATTCAATCCTCTGTATGGCCACAGGCTGCTCTCTAATGCAGAGGTTTTCAAACTGTGTGGCCGGGGGGGGGGAGTTGAAGGTGGGGAGAGCAGGGAGAGCAACGAGGTAAAGACACTGCATCATATGAAAGGGACAGGTGCACACCGGTGCTCTAAACACAACTGGAAGTTACTTATTGCAGTTTAGCTGCTGATTTAGCCCATTTACCGACACGGTCAGCAGCTGGAGCTCCAACAGAGGCTGAGAGACACGGTACATGGAGGCAGTTAAGGTACTTAAACTCCTCGTTATAACGTCTCAACATACAGATATGACACACGTTCAGTTACGTGACACTTTAAATGCTCCTTAACCTTCGTATTGTCTTCCCGTCGACCAATGCAACTTTTGTCGTCCTGAGTCAAAATTGACCTGATCTGCTTGACTGTTTATAAAACATGAAGTATAAAATTATTACCCAATAATTGCATTACACCTTTTCAAATCAACTTCATTTCAACTCATTATCGCAACTTTTACACTTTCTTTTACAATTTTACGGTCAATAGATATAAAAATATACCTTGTTTTTGAGTAAAAGCACAAAGCTGACTATAGTTACAATCAGAGGAACATATGCTGATGGGTTATCACAGACAGGTGCATAGCAGAGGTTAGACAGGATACTGTTCTGAAACCATTTCAGTAGTGTCACCCATTGCCCCATTGTAGTGGAGTGAAAGCCACAGATGCGAGGAATTTAAATAAAACACCCCAAATTCAATGAAAATTGTGCTCATTAATTACATTTGCAAAAGGTGCAGTAAGGAACCATCCATGTTATTTTCAGGCAATTACGTGAGAGAAAACCATTTTTCTGATATAAAAACATTTGAGAACAAGTTGTTGAGGACAGCAGACGTCTGCAGAAGCTGCTTCAGAATGATCACGTTTTTAAGTTTTCTTCAGGATCAAAGTATTCCACTGATGGTTACCTGCACATCCCTGGATACACAGCAAACAGGAACTCCTAACAGCACATTCTGCATACTTGCCACAATGTAAACAAATATAATCCACAGCTAACTCAGTGTCTCTTTGGCAACAGTGTACTTCCTGGGTTGTCTTGATTTTCCCTGAAGGGGGCGCACAGAGTCAGAGCTTGAAACCCCCTGCTCTAAATCATCAGTAGAAAATCACCTCCAGATACTTCCAGCAGCTACAGTAGTTTATGTGCAAGAGTCTAAAGCTTGAGTGAGGATGTCTCTCTAGATTCAACATGTGGCACCAATGTTGAGAAAAAGAGAAAACTGATACTTTGTGGAGGAAGGTGGAAATCACAACGTAAATTATGAAAACAACAATAATATACATATAATTCCATGAATATGTTCAAATCTTGTCTTGATTTATTCAAACATTTTCCTTCATAAATTTAAAAGTCTCTCTGTATGATTTGTGTCAGTGACCCCCCAGCAATCTGACTTCTGTCTGCCCCCCCCCGAACAAGCTACATCAGTCTTATCTTCATTAAGTTAATCTGCGTTTATGTTTATGTTTATGTTTATGTTCTTACTATGAGGGTTGTTGAATGTGAAAAATAGTAAAGGATGGGGAAGCGCACAAATCACGAAGTAACCCCTGGAACACAATGAACGTCACACATAATATGATGATGTTGTGATCAAAACGTAACCCCCCCCCCCTCCCCCCCATCCCATTTTTTATAAAAAAAATAGATAAAAACAAGGAAGCAGAGACAAGCAGGGAGTGTGTCTGTGATAGCTGAGCAGTTTTCGACACAAATCTGGAACAAATGAAAACATCACTCTCTGAATTAGCATGAAGTTGCATGACCTTGTGATGTGAGGGGAATATCTGAATTTCCCCCTGCGAGGACGGTGTGTTATTCTCAGAGCTATGTGCATGACTTTTCTGACATCAGTGGCTGTTTTGTCCACACAAAGAAAATATTCCCCACACTATTACCCCACCACCACCACCAGCACCACCAGCAGCAGCAGCAGCAGCAGCAGCAGCAGCAGCAGCAGCAGCAGCAGCAGCCTGGACTGGTGACACACGGCAGGTTGGGTCTGTGGATTCTGACCCTAACATCTGCGTGTCTCAGCAGAAAACCAGATTCATCAGACCAGGCTACGTTTTTCTTCACCTGTGTTCATTCTGAGAAGTTCTTCTGTTCACCACAGCTGTAAACAGTAGTTATCTGAGTTACTGTAGCCTTTAAGCTCCAACCAGTCTGGCCTCTCTCATCAACCCTAGAGACTGAATCCCAGGAGGAGCTGCAGTTTCAGAAATAGTTTCAGAAATACTCTAACCAGCAATGAACAATCATCTCAGTCTTTCGATGTGAACATGAACTGAAGCTTCTTCTCATGCTTACTAACAATAACAATTACTAACAATACTGAAAATGTGGCTTCTAAAAATGTTCTCACCGACAGAGAAATAAAAACACGTGTTTTCAGAGACAGCTTTTACATCCACCCAGAGCCCAGGAATTTCTGTAAGTTAGAGGAGCATTCAGTTGGATGTGAAAGACCTTTGCTGTGTTTACAATCCTGTTAATATGTAATAATAATAATAAACCATAAAGCTGGATATATATCTCTGCGTTAAGGGGTTACACTCTACTAATGACGGCTACCTGCACAGGCTGTGCTCACACGTTCCTCAACAAAACTTCTAGTAATCCTCTACAGCCATTCCACTCACTGTTTGGAATGAATGCACAAAAACACAGTGACTGCGTAGGCTTCCGTACACTAATAAGCCGTATTGGTGAAATTACACTATAAGTTACCTGGAAGTAAGTCCAGTTCTGTAAGTATGTGTGTATGCGAGTGTCGCCCTGTAAATGACAGTAAACACAGTTACTGTGGGGCATGTAATTGGAGCACGATACAGCTAGAACATGTAGAATAAATGCGTCGAGCATTGTGGTGGAAATATTAGTTGGGTAAATCCGACGCGCAACTGTAAATCAAAACCTACGTCACTGGTATTTAAGTGGGCGGGGGGGGGGGGCTCCCATTAACCCCTCGTGCTGACGACAAATCCAGCTTTCATCTTCACGCTTCGCGCATTCTAATGCGGTTAGACTTCATTGTAATCTAAAAATCGTGACTGTCGAATACATCATGAGTCACTGCAAGTGTTTCTGGAGAGGGAACTGTATTGGGGACTAATACAGTTTTAACCGTCTGTGAAAAGACTGCAGCCTCCCAGAACTGCGTACTATAAACAGCAGAGTGAAAGCCGACGCTTCATTAGAAGCTCTGCATTCCATGATGACAGCTGATTTCATTGCGGCACCCTTCAGCATGGTATCACATATAACAATCACCTTGGATCTCTCCCCAGGCTGGCACGGGGCCTGGCCCAGCCTGGCCCTCTGCTCACATGGGAGAGTGAGATCGGCACGGTCATTGGAACCACAGCGGTGGCACTGCTGACAGCCCCAGCTGCCCGCAGATCAAGGGGTGCTGGTGTATTGATGGCGGACAGGATGGCACACTGCCTTGATTTTTTTTTTCTCTAAAACACAAGCCTGAACAATGAGATCCCTCCGTACCACACAAAGAGTTGTGCCATGTCCAAGGCAGCTGCCTCCTCTGCAAGAGTGGGCTCTGTTTGCTATAGATTCTTAAAGGCCAGGTGTGAGAGGGAATATAAACACACCTGACACTGAAACCTCCACACTGGAGGTATAGCTCTCCCTCAGGGCTATCTTCGCCTTTGTTGATTTATTTTGGCTTCTTCTACATGACTCAAAGCTACCTCTGGGAGCAACTGACTTTTCCCTTCACCAGCCAAAGCCTGACCATGGAAACCTAGCTCTCCCACTCCTGCTGCCCTCTGTCCACCTTAGCAGGGCAGGCTGCACACAGCTATTTGTTTTAGGAGCTGAAGAATGTGCCCATTGTCTGTCCGCAGCCATCCTGAACTGACTGCTATAAATGCGTCTTTTGTCCGAGCCCTGCCTCCGCCCCCGCCGTCCCAGTGCAGACAGAAGTTATCTTGCGCTGTACGGCTGAGTCCGTGGTGGGGTTTCAGGGTAGGTAGAGAGAGACGGAGAAAGAGATACACACACACACACACACACACACACAAGAAAGATGAAGGGGAGGGATGGGGGTGTAAGAAGGGACACCAGGGGAACCTGAGGATATTTAGTTTTGGAGACAGGTGCATTCATCTTCTCCCCCTGCACACATCCAGGACAACGTGTGCCTTATCAGGTCTAAGAGAACCTGGGGCTCCCTGTTGAAAGGACTCTGTGATTAATGCCACAGCTGTGCTGTCAGACTGTGTGTTATGGAGGCTAATCATCTCCTCCTGGGACTGAAGCGACACTGATTTGATGTTATTTCTGTGGTTATCATAATTTCTGCATTCTGGGTGAGGGAGATTCCACGTCCTACTGCGAGTGGTATTCTCTTTAAAAATGACTGACTGAATTTCCTTGCAACAATGTAAATACTATGTCATGTGTGCTAGCTTGCTGCATTTAGTATTAATCTACTGCCTATTTCTTCTACAATAATATGACTCTTTATTTTTTACACAGGGAAGCAAAGTGTCTAAAAATAAAACAGTGCTTTAAATTCTGAAATATATTTGTTGTGGGTTGTTTTTTTTATCAGAAAACATAAAGCCTGTGAGGCACAGACAGCAGTTTGAGGAAAGAAAATAATTTTCCCAATGAAACATAAGCAAGTCACAGACAAAACACTGACCAGAGACTTGCCCTCCTGCCTCCATCACTAATATAAATATATGAGGGTGTTGGAGGAGCCAGTGTTTTAACCTGCTGCCTCTGCTGCTGGGCATGCTCAGTCCTCCACAGGGCAGTGCAGGCCAACCCTCGACCCGAAGCAGTGGGCGGCAGAACAAATGAATAAACTGACACTTTTCACATAGAGGGCTGGAGACCCCCTACATACACACAGACACCTTACACAGCGCACGTTTATGTCTCATCCACCCCCTCACACATGTGCTCCACAGAAAGTAGCAGCCAGTCTCTCTCTCTCTCTCTCTCTCTCTCTCTCTCTCTCTCTCATCCTACCTTTCTTCACTGGGTTTGAAAATGTGGAGTGTATGCTGGAGCTCTGCCTTATGTTTCATTTACAGACCACAGAACTGGAGATGGTTTCACAGTGTGCGATAAGGGACACATACACACACACACACACACACACACACACACACACACACACACACACACACACACACACACACACACACACACCGTAAAACTAGGATCAAAGAAATCAGAAGTGCCTGCACACACGCACACACACACACACACACACAAAATGACAATGGGTATAGCGCTGTAAGTAAAGGATCAAAGATACAAGCTTTTAATTCCAGGCACTGCGGCGAGGTAAGCATCAGAGCCAGCGTGCTTGAAAACCGAACAGTTAGTTGCTGACGTTGGAAACAAAGTAATAATGTTCTCATCCATACAGAGTTGCTGATACTGAGGTGACGACAGCAATGCTGAGAGGTGAAACGACGCCTGAATTAAGATTAGCACCCCCGAGACGCCTAAAGGCGAGGGCCTCAGCACGGTGAAGGAGGATGAGGGTGAGGTCTGGCAGGGAGGACGGTGATGTGGTGAATAACAGGGGGGGCTGTAGCATTAAGGACACAGTTTTATAGACCTGTCTTTCTTAATAACGCTCGCTGATATAAAAACCAGTCAACCAGCATGAGGTGGAACATTGACACAAAATTTATGAAGTATGTGGATCATAACTCTGAAACTTTACACCATAAAGAAAAAGACTCTCGCTGCCCCAGGGTACAAAATAGTGCTAATACCTCTGCTGGGGCTTTTCCAATCAATAGGTGCCTGGACTCTTCCCTTTCATTCCCCCTGTGTCATATTTTTCCATTTTCATTGAGTCTAAAAGACTTTTTTTTCTTTCAAGCTCAAATAAACACGTGTCATCGCAATATTTTTCCGCAGTGAGATGAGTCACCTCTTCACATGATATTTCTGCTGGATCTGATTAGGTGCCTTATTATTTACAGGCTGTTTTTAGGCTTAGAGGCCTTTATTGTTGAAATTCCTTCTTGATAAAAGCCACAGATTAATTTGTTCCACTTTGATTCCCCTGTTCATCTGATTACTAATTTTCATGATGTATATGAGAGCACATCGGACTCACCGTGTTAAAGTTGGGGAAGAGGCTGAGGGGGGAGGATCCATTGAGCCTGAAGGGCAGGAGCTGTTTGAGGTCGAGCTGAGGCTGCAGGGGCCGTCCCGGGACGGGGAGGGAAGCCAGGAGGGGGCTGCCCTGGGCGGATGTACCTGGACAACACAAAGAGATGGATGTTAGATAGTTAACGTAACATGAGGGTGGAGATTTCGGTCCCTGTGTGATTGTAGGAGTGGAGCTGGAAATGATGGTGAGGTGCAGCACACAGAGGGGGCCTGACTGTGATTCATTCCATACCAGAGGCGCCATTACACCTCCAGCTGACACCCAACACACACTGCACAGGTCAAATGCATGTGTGTGCATGTGCTTGTATCTGGGACGATACAGTGTGTGGAAGCGAGTGTGTGTTGCTGTTAGTGGGCAGTTTTACTGGAGACTTAATACGTCCATCGCCCCAATTGCCCGGACTGATTCCCCCCAAGGACGTGCACCTATCCCTCATGTACACACACACACACACACACACACGCACAAACACATCATTTAATTACTGATGTATTGGCTGAGGAAAGGTGCCTGCGCAAAGGGAAGATGGGAGATATCGGATTTCAAATGGACCAGGGATGAAGAGATTTCTAATTTTCCACCTGGCTGCGTTTCAGTGGACCGGTGCGCTCAGCGGTGCGCAGGCACTTATCCCTGCACCAGGATCAATCATCGGTGTCAGCTGTGGGTCACCGTGGCCACCCCAAAGTATGCCTATCCTGTGAGCCCTCTTGCAGCACGCACACACACACATACACTGTGAGGTATTTGTGTGTGATAATGCACACCACAGAAAAAAAAAGCAATCACTGACCTTACAATAATGCCAGCATCTTAGAAATAGAAAAGATTAGCCAAAAAAAAAGAGCACCTTCACGGTGGGGGAGGATTTCAGTGACAGATGGTGGGAGTACAGGAAGCTAGAGGTGAAGACAAAAACACTGTAAAATAACAAAATAAAAAAAACAAACAAAAAAAAAAACAGTAATATATTCATTCCTGGGAGCGCACAGTCCACACCTCTGTTTACCATACAGAGAAATGAAATGACTTTATCATCATGAGTTCATCGCTCTTAATCTTAGAAACATTTAATATCAAACGATGAAATTGTACATAAAGACAAATGAGTGGAAATGAAAGAAGTACTGAAAACATGGCAGCAGCCAATTTGACTAAATCCTGGACCATGTTCAGTGATAAGGTTGTTAAGTCTTTCATGCAAATATTTTATTTTAATTATTCACCTAATTAATTAAAACACTCAAGAAAAGACCATTCATTCCAACTCAGTTTCAGATGCAGGTCTGCAACAGAACTCCAGCATGAAAACAAAGCACACTATGCACCCACCCACCATCTAATCCTTCTTCTTTTTTTTTCTTTGCCTCATTACAAAAAAGGATGCACTCCTGTCTCCACTGGCTCTGCACAGGCTGCATGAAATACAGAGCTACTCCACTTACAGTTCACCTAAAGACAGTCAAACATGGCTACAAAGGCTCCGCACTCAACAAAATAAAACATGTTTTTATTTCTTTTTTTATTTGATGTAGCATCTTAGTAGTAGTAGCAGTAGTAGTAGCAGTAGAGCTTTGTGAAGTGCAGAACAGTGATAGATGGGGAATCTGGTCCATGGCTTTTCTGTGGCTTGGCAGGATTGGCAGCCATAATGTGGGGGTGGGTGTGTGTGTGTGTGTGTGTGTGTGAGGGGGGCGGGGGACTGAAGCTCTGAGCATATGCTCCTTAGCGCTGGTCTGAGGCCTGCATTTTTGTGTGGGCTCTCCTCTGCTGTCTGTCTGACACCCAGAGAGTGAGGCAGCATAGGACAGACGCAGCCTACAGACACGTGGGCAGCAGCCGGCGGGGGATCGCTCACACACACACACACACACACACACACACACACACACACACACACACACACACACACACACACACACACACACACACACACACACACACATTCAGACAGAAAAGCAGGAGTCTCCTCTTGGCAGGGCTATCAGAGGAAGGAGCTGGGCTTGCAGGGAGGACAGTTATCAGCTGATAGTGCTTCCCCACCTCTCTGTGACTCCCTAGGCAGCTTATTAAATCAGGGCCTGGCTGTTTGCCTCTTTGGATGATAACGCCGCCGCGGAGGCACAGCCCGAATCCAGGCATGTACGACAGAGCGAGCGAAGGAGTGCGTGCGTGTGATACTCGTCTGGTACATGCGAGCCTAGCGCACACACAAACGCATACAAACAGAAACTGCCTACGCTTCTCTGAAAACAAATAGCTCCCAGGGCGAGGGGGAAGTCAATATAAACACAGTCACAGAACATGCACACAAACACAAAATCAAACAAGGTATAATTTTACACTTGGCACATATTGTATTTGATTCCAGTAGGAGCACACTTTAAAGCAAAAGAACAGACATTTTTGAGTGTTCGAGCATGATTCTTGTGTTTTGTATTTCAGCCTGCAGCCTCTGATAACCTCCTTCTATCACACTGCGTCATTTTCCACTCGTTTGATAGCGTGTGTGCGTGTCTGCACATATGTGTGTGTTTGTTTGCATGTGGTTCTTCCTGTCCAGAGTCATGTCTGCGTCAAGGCTCAAATTTATTTACGCATCACTTGCGGTCCGCGGTTCAGACCACTGGCAGTTGAGGCAAGGCCTGAAACCAAATGTCCAGCCTCCGTCTCTCTCTCTCCCAGATGACTTTGCTACCGGATCTGACTGTCTCCGCCAGTCTTTCCCCAGGCAGGCAGGCCTCCTCCTCCTCCTCCTCCTCCTCTTCCTCCAACCATCACAACAACGCATTCCTCCCTCTCATGACTCACTGGGCCGGGTTACACAACAGCCACCGTCACATCGCATCCACTTGGATGTGTGTATATGTTTGTGCAGGGTGGTGCATCCCAGCCGTAGAATTCAAACATGGATTTTTCAATTATTTTCTACTTGGTCATCTGAGAAAAATAATGGATTCAACATACACAAGCAAACATACTGAGCCTTCCCTCCTCGTTCCTCTTCCGCTATGGCAGAATTAGCCGTTCAACCCTTTAGTCCTTCTACTGTAATTCTCTTGTCATCACTCCAGTGCTCCCTTAGGTTTCTGACAAATTGCCTTTTCTCACATCTAAATACCTCCACCCCGCCCCCTGTGCCCTCCATATCCCTGCAAACCGCTGCTGAGTGGCACAGGAAGGAGAAAGGGAGAGGGTCGGGGAGGAGAGGAGAGAAGAGAAAACTGTCTTTCTATTTGTGGCCCAGTGTAATTATGTGGGATAGATGCTGGCACAGCAGGGTCTTGGAGTTTGGTGAGTCGATCTCCACCTTCTTTTTCCCTCTGCCTGTTGTTGTCTAGTCTCCCAAAGACGGCTTAAAACAGGTGCCATGTCAGGTAGGCCGTACAACAGATGACGGACGGGAGAAACACGTCTTTTCTGTAAATATTCTAAAACAAATTCAGATTCTGAATCATTTTGAGGCGACATATGGTCCATTTAGCCTCACAGCAAGAAGGAAGAAGGTTCTGGGTTCGAACCCCGGTTCGGTCGGGGCCTTTCTGTCTGTCCCCCGTGGCTGAGTGGGTTTCCTCTGGCTTCCTCCCACAGTCCAAAGACAAGCAGGTCAGGTTAATTGGCGACTCTAAATTGCCCGTGGAGCGTGAATGGTTTCTTGTCTCTACATGTCAGCCCTGTGATAGACCGGCAACCTGCCTAGCTAACGGACGGATGGAATATAGTTTGAGTTATGTTTTATTTTACTTTTCCAGCACCTTGTTGTGAGAGTGAAACTCATTAACTGTACACTCCCACGGTTCGCTGATTCAAATTCTAAGTGGATGTTTTCCAGAATTAAAACTCACCAAACTGAACAAGATGTATTCTAACTTTGCAAGGTCTGTTGTTGTTTGTTGTCCAGGGTCTAAACTCTAAACAGCCTGCCAGTGCCTCCCTTTGTCCTCATTTACGGCCCACAGAGTGAAAACACAAGGACATAGCACTGCTGCTAGCAATGCTACCTCATGGACCCCCCCGAGGATCCTCATGACTTCGGCTACGGTGTTTGTATAAAGAGACGAAGGGCCGCGTGGTGAGGTAAAATAATGTACAAGACTACTCCTGCTCCTAAGTCCTTCAACCACCACAACAGAGAGTGAAGACTCTCTATTTTGCCGTTTCTTACGGAGCCTGACGGAATAGAAAACATGATGAAATCCTTTGTGTAAGAAGGTTTTAAAGGAATACACAGGAGACCTTTGTCTCTGGTTTGGTGATTTATTCTTTGTGTGATTGTAGGATCAGTAAGGTAGGAGCTGTTGTCTTTGTTGACTTCTGCAGAATTTAAGGGCATTATGCACCGCGGCTCTGCTGCTCAGCTGTGACTGCCTGCTGAGTAACAGTTGGACTGTCAGTTAGACCTTCGCCATCAGGCTTCTGACCTGATTATCCAGCTGTGACAATGAATTTTTACACATCTCAACTTGAATGTTTTGCAATGGAATGTGCAAGGGGGAATTCCTGACCGGTGCAATGATGAGCGTGAAGTGCAGACACTGTACGGTCATAATTACTCTGCATCATGTGGATGATTCTTTCCTCAGTTGCCTTGCACAGTCCCCACATGCCAGTCAGTGATCGTAGCCGTCGCGAATGTGCACACAGTCAAATCCTGACACATACATTAAGCCTCGTGATGCGATGTTGCTCACTGTGCATCTGCCACACTGTTCCACCCCCCCCCCACCCCTCCAAACTTCCAGGCAGCCGCTGCCCAGGCTCAGACCACGGGCTGATGGGACTGGATCTGACAGCGCAGGAAGAGCCAGCAACTACAACTCTCCACATGAATACAGAACTGGAGCTTTTTAGTTACAATAACCCGACTGACAGAGTGGTTTTTTTTTTTTTTCAGCTGAGGTATGAAATAACCCAAGACATGCTATGCATACAAATGGCTGTCTCACACGAGCTGCGCCTGGAAATTGTAAATTGGCCTCATGGTGTATTAGAGGCTCACAGCCATTCGAGGGCATGAAATGACATTACACTGCCTCTGGATGTCCGAACCTACTCCTCAGAGACACAGGGAGAGAGAGACAAA